CATAAGAGTTTTGTTCAATTGCATTTGTTTAACAAAGCTAAATAAAATAAAATGTAAATATGTCGCCTCAAAAGTTGGCTGGGATAAGAAAAGTCCTGATGCTTCTGTCTTGCAAAAAAACGATTAGTCCACCAGAGAATGTAAAGCTTCAAAACATCCGTTTTATAGGCTTCACGTGGGACAAAAAAAAAAAGAAGACAAAAAAATGTTGATATAACAATAAAAAGATACTAGAGCAGCCAAATAAATACAGGCAACTACAAGTACAGAAATGGTTAAGTGGTTGGAGGTATTGAAGAGAAAATTCCAAATTTCTTACAGAAGTGTAAACGTGAAAAGATTATAATTGGGGGAAAAAAGAGAGAGAAAAATAAGACACAAATTAAATTAAAAGAGGGGAGGGGAGAAAAGTGTATGTGCCCTGGGGATGAGGAATTGCCAAGGCAGAGCTCAAGCCGATGTAGGGCAGCTTTTTATTTATTTTTTAAATTGAATTGAATTTTTTTATTTTTTTTCCCCCACCTCCCTCCTAGCTTTCCCTGTGTGAGGTTGCTGGCCTGTCGCAGGTCAGGTCCCTCTCGAGTCTTCCCCAGAAACAACACACAACAACAGAAATGTTGATTTGGACCATTTCATAGAATAATCAAAAATGTTTTAAAATTCTGAGATAAGATTTGAGATTACTTTATGAGATGTTGTTGTTTTTTGTTAGATATAAAAATATATCATCTGCAAATAGGCTGATTTTATGGTGGGAGTCTTTTGTTTATATCCCTGTAATATCATTGTTTTGACAAATAGAGGCTGCAAGGAGTTCGATGAAGATTGCAAAGAGTAATGGAGAGAGAGGACATGCTTGCCCTGTGCCTCCCTGAAGTTTAAAATGTTGGGAGGTGACATTGGTGATAACACATGCAGGAGGTGAATTGTAGAGTGTTTTGACCCACTGAATAAACGACTCCCCAAAATGAAATTTTCTAGAGTGAGGAAGAGATATATCCAATTTACCTTATCAAAGGCTTTTTCGGCATCTAGTTATGTGATAATAGTGTTTAAGTTGTTTACTTGGAATGTGTTAATCAAACTGAAGAGGAGGCACATGTTGGAGGAAGAGTTTGTGCCCTTTATAAAACCTCCTATTGTCTGAATTATATAGGATATGACTGATTCCAATCTGTTAGTGAGTGCTTTGCTTATTATTTTGAGAGTGATATTCATGTGTGGTGGTATATTTCGTGATGATTTTCTTAATCATTCTGAAAAACAATGGGCATATAAGGTGCTGTTTATAGAACTCAGTAGGGTATCCATCTGAACCAGGTGATTTATTGTTAGGCATGAAGAAGAGAGCTTTCTTGAGTTCTTGTGGAGTTATGGGTTGGTCTAGTGTTGGCCTGTTCTGTGTATAGTTTAGTGAGTTCAATGTTGTCAAGAAACAAGTGGATGCTTGAGGAGTGGCTTTCATTGTAAGAGTTCCTTATAGTAATCTGGTTATTGTTATTGGATTATGATTAGGGTTTCCATGTAGATCTTTGATTGCTGTTATCAGTGTTTTTTATTTGTTTTGTTTTAGCCGGTTGGTGAGAAATGTTTCTGTTTTGTCATTGTGTAACAAAAAATGTTCAGTCTCGCCCCTTTACATGAGAACTGGGTTTTTTTAATGTATCATTTTTTCAAGCTAAGCCTTAATTTTCTGTATTTCGTGTTGGGTATGTTCAGTAGACAAACTTCACTTAAGTTCAAGTTCTTGTTGTATATCTAATTATTTCTTCTTCTTGTGGGTTGGGGTCAGGGGATGGGGGTTGGTAATAACCTGATGATTTTTCGGGTTGCTGATAAGCAGAGTTACTGACTAGGAAGGGAAACAATCTATTCTGTTATAGCTTTTATGGGGGGACGAGTATAAAGTGTATTATTTATCAGATGATTTCTTCGATCATCAATAATTGCTCAAATCTTTAATATAAGATTTTATTGTGCCGCCGGACTGCCATGCCCTGTAGTTGTTTTCTGCATTGCATCTGTCTAGGTTTGGATTAAGGACTGTGTTGAAGTCTTTTCCTATTATTATTATTATTATTGTTATTATTATTATTGAATCAGAGAACTCCATGATACAGATACAGAATATTGTATGAAAGAAATTTGGGTTGTCATCATTGGGCCCATAAATGTTGGCTATTGTTATTTTCACATTCCTAATGACTCCATTTATAATAACAAAGCAGTTTTGGTATAGACCATATTTATTTACCAGAATAGCAACACCTCACTTTTTGGAATTATGTGATGCAGAATACATGGGGTTTGTCCAGTTAATTGTCAGTTAGATGTTCTGATGCAGTGAGATGTGTTTCTTGCATAAGACAGAGGCTGGGTTTCAGAGAAGAGAGGGTGAGGGAAGAAGGATAATGAGTGTTGGTGTATAGTGCTGAGGGTGAGACATGTTCACATTATCCAGGGGTGAGATTTTTTTATTTTTTAAATATATATTATTTATGTTAACACTTTTTTGATGTTTGGTAATAGTTGTCCTTCAATGTAAAGTTTAACAACCACCAGAGATGTTCATTTGCTGTTTGAGGATGGGATATAGTACTTTCGGTAGTTAATTTATTTCTCTGTGAAAGTGATGACTGATGCCATATGTTGTTCCATTTAGCTCACGCCCCATGCTCTTTACAAGTTATTTCTGCTGTCTGTATGTTGAGAACTTTCTCTTTCAGTGTTTTGTTTTATTTTTTGAATGTGTCCATCTGAGAGTGTTTGAGCTCTGCATTGTCTCTCTGGGAAGTGAACTCTAAGCTTGTTTTGAGGTCTTTAATCTCCTGATAGAGCATGCTGAGAACATCCAGTTATTTATTAACAGATTTCGGGCACATTGACCTGTATATCAGTGATGGTCAGATCATTGGTGTCAATAGATTTGTTCATTCGTTTTCCTTTTTGCTGGGTTGTTGTAATAACACTGATCATTAAAATCCTCAAATCTTTTATATCATATAAGGACAGAGGGCCTGTGACTTCAACAGACAAAATGGGGTTAAGCGGTCACTTTGCGTTCTATAAACTTTAGTGAAATTTGTGTAGATTCTAAGACAAATTTCCCTAGAAAGTGTTTCGACTGCAAAAATAAAAAAAATCCCATTTTTATTTATGAAGTTCTTTTGGAAACCATATGTGAAAAGCACATTTTAGCTCATGTAAATGGGAACTGAGAGTCAGTGGTTCCTGTGACTGATGCCGCTGTCCACAGCCTGTTCAAACTGAAGCTTCCAGGCATATTTTATGAGATGGATTCCTTTTGTATTTGTCGTTACCAGCCTGTTTTGTTTATTTATTTTCCTGAAAGTGGAAGTTTAAAGCCAAATTGATCAAGAGTATTGCGTCACTCTTCTGGCAAGGTCATTTGTTTGACAAAGTGTCTTTTGAGTAAAGTAGGCTGTTTCATTTTAGCCCAGGCACCGTTAATGGAATGCCACTGATGGTACGTTAGACGTAGGGTGAAGTGTGCGTGTGTGTTTGCATGTGTGTTTGGCTGGTTGTCTGTGGGTTGTATCCATCACTCTGATAGTATCTTGTCACCACGATGCCCAAAGGGAAACAGCACACATGGAAACACAGTGGATTCAGACACAAACACATCTACAGTAAATGTACACACCAGCATTGGGTTTGTAATGTTGTACACTATTATTGCTGCTTTACCTAAAAGTGAATACTGTGACAACGTACTATTTTAATTTACTTATCTTTATCAGCAAGTCTAATTATAAAATAGAAGCTGAGTGATATGGTAACTACATTCTTTTTTGTTTTCCTTCATCATTGATTGTTTTCAGCTTTGATTAGAAATGCTGGAAATTTGGCATTCTGTGGTAGGGAAATTCCCCCCTACTGGATTTTATACACTCAAGGGAAGAAGAAAATATATCAGTGCATGTTGGTTTTCTCAGGAAAAGAAATCCTGATTTTGGATGGGATTTTGGGGGTGTGATAGAAGTACAAAGTTGTTCAAATTACTGATCCTTAAGAGTTTAATGATGTAATACTAGTTGAAATAGCAGTTAAGCATTTCTTGATATTAGTAAACTGTTTATATTTTTATTGAGTGACAAGCCTAACACTGGTGTGGAAGTATTGTACACCCATTGTTTCCCAGTAAGTCCTGTGAAATGCAGATCTTGTGCATACTTTTGCACACCCTCAGCAGCTTCTGCATGCAACTTATTTAACTAACTAACTGCTTTATCCATCCCAAATAGCTTTTAAATTAGCAGTGTTTCAGTGCTCTTATATAAGTCCCACCACTGACACCAGCTGTCTTTTTCTGTGAAATGTCAGTCCTGTGTACATTTACATGTGGCTGTCAAGAAGTGGGGCACACAGGAATACGGCAGCTCATACAGCTCAACATGCATTCGAAGAAAGGCTGGACAGACCTTCATCATAAAGAGACAGCAGTATGCTTATAGTTAGATAGGAATTGCCCTGTCTCTGTCAAATCCAGCTACAGACCCTCAAAGGAGCAGGCAGGGAGACAAAAACATGATTGAAGATGGCTATAGTGGGTGGTAAATTTGCTTTAGCGTTAGCTGAACTTGCCACACACAGATGCATATGCACATGCAAACACACGATCAGACTTGATGTGACTGGCCATCCTGTGGTGTATCTAGTATAGTGGAATACAATGGGTGTGCATGGAGATTTTAGATCAACAGTTCAGCACATTATTGTACAGTATTGCGAGAGCAGAAGGTGACAAATTTAATCACACTCATTACAGAGCAAGAACGACCCTATAAGAACAAATGAGCTATCTTTTTTATGCCGTCCTTCATTCAGTATCCTTTCACGTTTACAGTGATACATTTGCAGTGAGTGTACTTTTTCTTTACTCTAAGGCTGCATAAATATTTCTCACCAATTTTAAGAAGATTTTTTAAGATATATGTTTTCTATCTTTCTCTTTCTCTTTTCTTCATGTCATTCCACAGTAACTAAGACCGTGTGTGCCGAGCAGTGTGACGGTCGTTGCTTTGGTCCCTATGTTAGTGACTGCTGCCATCGTGAGTGTGCAGGTGGCTGCTATGGACCAAAGGACACAGACTGCTTTGTAAGTGAACAAACACACACACACATACACACACACACACACACACACACACACACACACACACACACACACACACACACACCCACACACTAACTTTACAGCATTCTATGAAATAAATACATGTTTAATGTTACTGACATGGTAATATACAAAACTTGTACTTTATATTTCCTGTTTTTCATAAATCTGCCACGTTACCCGTGACTTTAAACTTCCTTTGATTCATGGTACTTCTGCAAAAGGATTTCTTCCTTCCAGACTATTTTTTTGCATTAAAATGCCACTTGTATGGCAAATATCATTAAATGACATTTCATTCCCATTTCTGCCTGACATGAGTGCCATTGTTAAATACAGACTCCACCAGCCCTTCCTCCATCCTGGCTCTTTGCCGTGTGCTTTATCAGTTTTATTTTCATCCCTCTGCATGTTAAACTTGTTTCTGTGCTTGTAAATTTGAATCCTCCATCACTACCGGAGCTTCTCTGCCTGACTTTGGTCAGTATTGCCCATTCATTTTTTGCTCTATTTGATTCTCCACAGTTTATTTTCTTTTCTTTTCTTTTCTTATACTTAAGAAAGCTGATAAATGTTGGTACAGTACATTTTTGTTATTTAACACTCCCTCTGCCTGTCTTTCACTTTTTCTCTCGCTAACTGACACTTTTTTACAGGAATCAAGAATGAATAAATCAATTGGAGCGATGTTCAACCATTTTGAATGCTATGATTACATTAAATAAATCAGTAGAACTAGCAGTGCAGTTTAAGCATTTCACATTCAGTTTAACAGGTAAGCTCAGAGCCATGAAGGAACATTATTTTGAGGCTTAAACCATGTACAGTTAATATACAGATTGGGGTAATGCCATCGCAAATGGTTTTGCATGTTTTATTCTGTGTTTCCAGAAACAATGCAGTCCAACTTTGGTTTAACTGTGCCAGTACACAGTTTTTATTGGACCCACCACTCTTTATCAACATTTTCCCACATTGGCCAAATAGTTTTGCAAGAAAATTTTAGGCATTTGTCCAAATCCAACAATCCCCATCTACAGTACCACTAGGGATAAGTGAGAAAAAAATGAGTGATATGCAAGTGATACGGACCTTTTAAATAAAGTAATGAATCAAAATGTTTGTTCTATCACTGTGTTTGTACTGTGTGTGTTTGCAGGCCTGCACTAACTTCAATGACAGTGGGGCATGTGTGACCCAGTGCCCCCAGCCATTTGTTTACAACCCCACCACTTTCCAACTGGAACACAATCCCAGGGCAAAGTACACCTATGGAGCCTTCTGTGTCAAGAAGTGTCCACGTAAGTCTTACCAACTGGACACACACACTTTACTACTATACTGTACTTGTGATGACCTTACACTAATAACATAAATTCCCTATATCATCCCGATAATAAGTAAAATACAGCGTGTATATTCTTTCTGACGATAATGTGTGTGAGTGCGTATATCTATCTTTGTGAGGATACACTTTCAATCGGATCACTCAAGACACATGTTGATACCAGTTCTTAACTGGGCCATTGTTACTGGGCTGGTTCAAAAGGCTGTTTAAGAGGTAAGAAGGTTTTAAGGTTGTGGCTAGAATTAAGATATATGAAGTTGAAAATAAGTGCTGGGGTTAGTCATTTAGTGGCGATGGTTAAGTTCAGGGTATGGTGCAAGGGAATGCATTATGTTCTCAAAAGTATAGGAATTCAAGTATGTGTGTGTCTTTTAAATCCAACATTTCATTACTGTCACTACGAAAACACTATGAAATCATGTGTGAGTATTCAGAATTTCGTAATAGGTGTTTATCAGGGACAAATGCCAAGGTCTTGAGATCCATAGAGAGGAAAGTGATTATTTACTTTTATGAATGGATGATGAATAGATCTATTTATCTTCTTCTCAAAAGGAGTTCTATTTCTACTCATTAGCCACTAAGGAAACACAGGATAAACAATGAACCCTTACGTCAACCCTTCTATTAAGAATGACAAGACCACAAATCTACAGATTGGTGACAAAGTTAAGGAAAACCAATAATAAAAGGTTTTAGTAGCCAGTGCGACAAGAATAGCTTTATCAGTGTAGCAACTATAAGCAACAACAACGACTGCAGTGCAATTTTTGTGTCAAGGATAACTGTGCTTAGTGCTATTCACCTGGTTAAACCTCAGTGGAGACAGACTTGTCAGTGTGGGCCATGACATGCAGGGGGGAGGCTGCCTCCATTATAAATGCAAGGACCTGGCTGCTGAATACTTCCTACCTGTAGTAAAGCTTTTCTGTGGTTTGCCGGTAACATCAGTTTGGTTCTTTTTTGTTTCTAAATTGTTTCTTGCATTACATTGGATCTGAATTACAAAACCACCAAAGTCGCTACTGATGTGTGTGTTTTCACCATTTCCACATGAAGAAATACACAAAAATCAGATGCTATGCTGTGTTGTATTGCATCCCTTTGATGGTGCTAACACTGTGTGACACTGATTTATTAAATTGGAACCAGCTGCTTTTTCCCTCTATCACAAATCTTCATTCATTCTGAAGCACACATCTCACTGTTTCACTATTGGTCAAGGTCTCACCCCCAGCACTCATTTATCTTGATAAGCTGTCTACCTTGAAACAGCCTCTGTCCTGAGATTTCGGTAACTGGTATTGGCAAAGCCAGTACAGGTGATAAAGAAGCAGGGGGTTTGGTCTGCATCACCCTCATATCAAACATTTTTAGTCTTGGTATTACTCCTCTGTTTATGTGACCACTACCCAGCTAACCACTAACCACTCACCATGCACAGCTAATTGTGATTGCCCCACGCTGTTCACAACATCAGTGAAAAGGCCAACCAGCAGGGAGGGAAGTGGGACTTGCGCTTAAAGGCAGTGTTACTTTTAGAAAGACATAAAATGCAGTATAATTAACCATTGAAATGTTTAGTGTGATGAACGTATGTCCCTTATTGCTGCATTAAAAACAGTGTAAGTTGTGGTTGTGTGCATATTTAATGTTTGTTTCTCTTCTTTTTTGTGGTAGTTGTTCATAAGTGGCCTTAGTGTCATTTTAATTTAATAACATTCATTTTTTTTACATGGGTCTTACTTAAATTCCTAATTCTTGTAATTATGTTGTCATGTTATTGACATATGAGCTCCTTTTCCCATAAGCTGGTCGTCCAAATGAATACAGACATTTAGAAATGAAACAGGGTCCAATAAAAAAAGTCAACAGAGCTGTAGATACACAAGTTGGACAAATATGTAAAAATTACTTTAATTTTTTTTGTATAAATATTTAACACCCAGCTTATAAGTAAGTATAAATTGCATTTAATATTAAATAATGTCAAAAAATTGTATTGCTAAAAACTCCAGACATGAAGGTTTTGCCCTGTAATGCTGTTGATGTGCAGTTAGCAAATTATTTTTTCTTTATTATGTGATTGCCTACACTAAGTGTCACTTATTGTACTGTATGTTCCTGTCTAACAATCATCAGCCATCTGTGCTTGACATTTACAGTGAATTGTTTTTCAGATAACTTTGTGGTGGACCATAGTTCCTGTGTGAGAGCGTGCCCCAGCAACAAGATGGAGGTGGAGGAAAACCGCATTAAGATGTGCATTCCTTGTACTGACATCTGCCCAAAAGGTAAACCACAAATAGATGTTTAGAAACATACACATTTTTATCAGTAATTAATTAATTTCACATTTATTTAAATATTATACTATCACTGGTAATATTGGGCAAGCAAAGAACGTTTAAACGTCAGTAAATCATTACCACATTCATGGAGAGACATGTATATACCACCTCTAAACCACCAGTTCCAATGTGGCTTGAAATCTGCTGGATTTCTTTATGGCAAACACAGAAGAGCTTAAACAGAGCTAAAATCATGTTCAAATTTATTGAAGTTTTAGGAAATAGCAGTGAGTATAGAGGGAATGATGCAAAACCTGTAGTCCAGGGTTCAAAGGGAATATTTTGAGAAATACTAAAAAAGCCACTGACATGGGACATAGACTAGCAGCTGCATCACCCATGGTCACATCTGTTTTAGAGTATCAATACAAAACCATTATTGGACATTAGAGAATTCTATACTGATATTTTTAAATACTGCCCATTACATACCTTTTAAATCTCTCTTTTGTTAGATATGGTTGTTATAAAGACATTTAATCATACTAATGCATTTTGCTATCTTATATGTGTGTTCCAGCCTGTGATGGAATTGGTACAGCCAGCCTACAGTCAGCTCAGACAGTGGACTCAAGCAACATTGATAAGTTTGTCAACTGCACCAAAATCAATGGCAACCTGGTGTTTCTCATCACTGGGATCAAAGGGTGAGAGTTTATCAGAATAAAATAGTGGAACTGTGATCATGTTTGGTCATTTTTGGTCATTTTATGTCTTGTCTAGTATAGCTTTTAGCAAATAAAGTCCTTTAAAATCGTAAAATTGAATATGTTAATGCACCTGAATAACTAAAATGTAATTTGAATAAGGACTTAGATATGTTAGAATTACTGAAATATATTATAAATACATTCATAATACTGCTTTTAGCACTACTCTTGTCTCTCTTAGCTCAATCTACACCTCAGCAATTCAGCAATGCATTCAGCATTAATACCTTTGGGTCCGAACATACTGCAAATATTAATAATCAGATGTATTTTTTACTTTTAATGTAAAATAAGACGGCCACCCTAAAAGCCCAAATAAAAAATGTAAGCATGGTGTTAATTGTTTGAATGAATATAAATGATGTTGATGCAGTGCCAGTGATGGTAAGTGGGAAGTGAGTATGCTGAAAATGCCTTTAGAACGAGTAAATGTATATGCTCATAAATTACTCTAAAGAGTGTAAAAGGAATTTGCTGTGAGGAGAGTGTGGTGTGTAGGAGTGTGACTTTAAAAGACAAAGCAAACATGTACAGTATATATTATGTATGTGTAGATATTCTGTATGTATGCATGCAAGCAATCATTCACAAGTATTTCATCAACTTCAGCAAGAAAAAAAAAAACACACAAAAATCACATTCTTTACTGATTTGATATGATATTCTAAATTATTATATTCAAGGTATGGTTGAGTGCAGACAAGACAATTTGTCATAGCTATGATTAAGAAGCATATTGCTTAACTATGCAGTATAAAATAAAGATACTGTTATCTTTCTGTTTGTGTTTGTATTGGTCTGATCTCCCATTATCATTCACAGTGATGTCTATCACAACATTGAAGCCTTGGACCCAGAAAAACTCAATGTATTCCGCACCGTTCGGGAGATCACAGGTGAATAATATCAATTTTACAACATGGATTTATGCACCTGCATACAAGTTTATAAACAAACAAAAAATAAATAAAATTCACTGTTACCTTTATCCCTTTTTATGCCATATATAGAGTGCATATGTGATGCTTGTGTGTGTATCTGTGTGTGTATTTGCTCAAGTGTACCTCACCCCCCTCCCCCTGAGACTGTCCACACCAAGGACAGACATTGCAGCATAAGATGAATATCAGATGAGTCTTTCAATCTCCTCTGTCTCTCTGCTGCTTCTCCCTCGGGGAGTCCCTAGCCTTGAGTCCCATAGTCCCAGCTCTCCCTTCACGCACCATGAAGAAAAGATCCAGAACATGTGGTGCGCATCGTTAATCCTCTAGCTCCCCTATGCCACCACCACCACATCTGAGCCACATGTATACTGTCATCTTCCCAGCCCAGACATTTGACAATGCCATCACCACGAAACCTTGTATCGCCAATGTGACACTCCCCTAAAAAAAATATTACTGTTGAAACATTGTTGGTGAATTTTTTTACTTATGAAGGGTGTTTACAAAAGCAGATTTATTAAACCCCCCCCTTAAAAATACACATTTATTTAGGACTGTGTTTATGTATGATGTAACAGGATTACATTTATTTTATTTTGGTAGTTAAAAGGCTCTCTGGAATACATATTAAAATTAATTATTTCTGTTACATATTTTACTAATTCTTAAAATATAATATATTGGGTACCAGCTTAACATTTTAGTGGCTGATTCATGCCTGTATTGTTCATACTCATGCACATCATTCTGCCTGATCTAAATGTGATTTAAAGCAAACCACTCTGTAATGAAAAGCACTTGGTTTGTTGTAGTTCAAGTGCAAACAGAGTACTCCAGGTTTGGGAGTGAGCCAGCTAATAACTTCTGTATCAACAATGACCAGATTTTATTAATGCACTTAGTACCATTATCTGATGGAATATAGCAACTGACCACAGGAGTCAATTATAGCTAATTTGTAGGCCTCTCTAAAGGTCAGCCCACAAATCACACCCACTTGGTTTGTTTTTCCAACAAGTTGCGATCCATTGCTCGACAATAATTGATTCTTTTACCACAAGCACAACTTAAAGGACTGAGTAAAGGAATAACAGAGCGATAGAAAAGAGACAGGAAGACAGGAAGAGAGAGAAAAATCGAATCAGATGTAACACGCAAACAACAAGAAGACTAAACAAACTAACAGATCTACATCATCTTATAAAGGGGTAGGGAACCATCGCATACTCCTTGATTTCCTATCAGAATGTACAGATGGAGCAAGGCAGGAGATATTTAAATGGTTTGAAACTTAAAATACAATTAGTAAGCAGTCTCAGTCATTAACTGCGTAATTAGCTGGTGTCTTAGTAAATCACACGTTCATTTCAGATTGTGAGCTCAAAATGTATGAAATGCAAACAAAATGTTTCATTCTGCCTTTCAAGTAGCCAAATCTGGTATTTGTTCCTCAATGCATTTTTAACTGATCTGAATGGAAAGAATTTAAATGCAGTAAAACATCAAAAGGAAAATCACTACAAAATCAAAAACTTGACATCCAAGAGGTTTTTTCTCCCCTCTTCACTTAGGGATGGCAGTTTGGCCAATGGTTTGTCCCTATCACCTGCTCTCAAACACCATGTAGTCAGAGATGTGTGTCAGCCGAGCTTGTCATCTCTCCGAGCTGTCATGAGAACGTGACTTCTAACAGAGGCAGCAAACCTGCCTCTGTGACCCCAAGGTCACAACTAGCATTGCTCTAGCTTTCAAATGAGCTGTGTAGGAGGACAGCTCTCATCCTACACACCAGCACACCCGTCTCTCTCTCCAATTCTTCTCTTTTCTTCCTTCTCCTTCTTTCTTTATATCATCCTTTTTTTCTTTCATTAACTCATGCTTCTCTTTTTCACCACACTCAAAGACATATCCCCAGATCAGGTCCCACCCAAAGAGTGGGCAACTCACACAATTTAGCAGTGGGTTTCTCAGTGTTGTGACCCGGAATGTAATCACCACAACTTAAGCACTCTTAACCTTTGCTTGTGAGCTCATGGCCTTCTTCTCTAAGTGGCTCCACCCTGTAATTTGCTTTGTGCATTGGTGTGCCACTGATGTGGCTCTCAGCTGAACATGGACCACTGCTAGGTGATCTTTTAACTCACAGAGTTGAGAAGAAGGCGAAGACACCAATTACGATCAGGCTTTTTTTCCTATCACACCTATTAAATGTACTTAGATAATTTCCCCTAAGATTATACCAGTGTTATTATTGTCCATAAATTATATGTACATACTATATGACACCATATGACACCTTTGTGTAAAGTATTTTCAAGGAATCGCAGAAATGTATTTATCATTATACAACACCAGGTTGTGTAATAAAATGAGAGTTTGCAGTTCCTTCTATACTACACACATAGAAAATAAATACAAACAACAACAATATAGACAGTTATTTATATACATACACATATACACCCAGAAAATCAATTAGCTTTTTTTAAAGTAGCAAGATAGTGATGATAATATGGTTTTCATCTTCACATAAAAAGAAACAGCACCAATCCACTTTGACTGCATTTCAGAATCAGCCATCAGTGATATAAACACAGAGTCTGCCTCCTCTCGTCCTGCGCTCTGTTGGTTTCAAAATGTATATCCTGGTTATCTTTGTATATCAATGTTTCATCTGTATTTATTTATTTTAAGGATTAGGTAGGCTGTTATTCTGTGTTTTATTTTTGTCAACAGCAACAACCAACAATGCTGTAGTTAGTCTTTCCATACTTTCTGACTTCCCAACCCCTGTCTACTTCACTCAGCCACAAACCCATTCATTCGTTCTGAATATGTTCTGTAAATCCTTTAAAGGTCCAGTGTGCAACATTTAGGATGATGTATTGGTGGAAATGGAATATAACATCCAGGGAATCAAAATGTTTTCATTAGTGTATAATCATCACCTGAAAATAAGAATCATTGTGTTTTTGTTACCTTAGAGGGAGCTGTTTTTATCTACAGAGGAAGCAGGTCCGGACTAAGGAGTCCACCATGTTGAAGCACCAAGTTTCTACAGTAGCCCAGAACAGACAAACCAAACACTGGCTCTAGATAGGGCCTTTTGTGAGGCGAATTGGTTGCAATCTGCAATCACGTCACTAGATTCTACTAAATCCAACACGTTGGACCTTTGAAACATCACAAAAATAAAGTTTAAATATTTTTTTAAAAAGGACTTAATTCCCACAAATTTACTTTAACTTTATCAAATGTTACTCAAAAAGCAGTAAAGAGTTCACATGGGGACTATTTTCAGATCAGGATTAATATGTATTTGTTGCACCAGTGAGTACTGGATCAGGGCAGCATATGTGGGATTGACTAAAAATGAACTCCAGTGCCCGTGTTCATCATAATGAATAAACACCAAGGGCGACAGTGTATCTCACTCATGTGTTTTGAGTAGGTTTTGGAGAACAATTGATATATCAGGGTACAGAAACAATAATCATTATAGAATCAATTCATTGTTGGCTTTTGACTTGTCATGGGATTTGTTTATAGTAAGAAAAATGTAGAATATCCCTTTTCTTTAACTCCAGAATAATAGCTTTGAGCACAAAAAAGAACTTCATCATCAGTGCCATCCATTTTAGCCCTTAAACTCATCCAAAGCCCTACAGTAGGAGCAATTTTGACCACTTGCAGTTTTAACAACATTCCCACCTGTATGCATATCATTAAGGCTAATAGTGCATGTTTTCTACGTGGTCAGTCGAGGGAACTCAGACTGGCAACCTTCAGCCAAAGCTTGCTTTTTTTTCAGCAGTATTTAGTTAAAAAAAAATTAAAACGAAAAATTGTAAATATACAGACTTAAAAATTCTCCACACGGTGAATCTGTACCAACCTTGTCCATGTACATGTAACTGTAGGTACAGATTCACCAACATATGTGTGCTGTTAGCCAAGTATTACATTAGCACAGCACGTGTGCAGCAGGCATTAGCTTGTTACCTTGATTAGGAAGCACCCCTAGCCACAGAAAGAGCACTATGGTGGAGCTTTGAGGTGCCTCAACACCGCAGCTTTTGTCATTAAGACAATTAGTGCCGACAAGTACAACGCTAACGATTCTATAGTACTGCTGTCTTGGGGCTAAGAGGCCCTCAGCATCCTGAACTATACACCATGAAGCCAGAGACAGGGGTGCAATAAACAAGACGGACAAAACCAAAACTGCTGTTAGCTTTTATAAATAACCATTTTCCAGCAATACATTTTAGGATTCTTTATAAATATCACATAATACTCTATAACAGAATGAACTCCCATCACTATTCTATCATAATGGCTGCCATTATTATTATTATTATTATTATTACATTTATATTGTATCTTCTCAGAAAAATCTGGTAAATTAGTAAATAAAGTAATAAATAGTACTATCTAAGTATGGTTTTCCACATTGGAAAACGATAATAATATTGAATTTATTCTCTTTTTTCTGCCACCTGTTTCTGCCATAACTATTGTGGTCATGCATATAACAAGCTCTGGTGTGAGGATGTGTTTCAAATTCAGCTCATTTGCATGAGCCGTTTGCATGAACCCTGGTGTGTGATTCCTCACAATTACCTGACTTCTTTTTTTTTGGTTTTCATTTCCTCATCAAACACTCTTAATAAGCATTCGCTCAAACCCTGCTGCTGCCCAGCTGGGATTGACATAACAAACAAAACGGTGTCCAAGAACTGATAAAGGTGTTGCTGAAGGTTATTGCTCATTTGTCAACAAGCCATGAGCTCCCTTCTTCTTCGCAACTCTGCTTACCTCCCCCCACAACCCATCCCTTCTGTGGATACACAAAGTTATGCTTCCTTCGGGAAGAAAACACACGGTTTAATATAATACTGTCCATTGATTGGAGAATGAACCACACTGCCGATCACACCCACAAGGTTACCACCGTTTACCACCGCACCTTTCTCTCCTTCCTTTTTCAGAAAGGCAATGCAACAGCAGCTTGATGCCTCTGTGTTTTCTTTCGATTGAGTAATTTGTGACATTTTGTGTTTAGTTTGTCATTATAGTTACCTGGACTCCCCTTACCTCCACCTTCGTCCTTCTCTCTGTGCATCTTTCCTTAGCCTCATGGCCTCAACCAGCTGTGTTGTTTGTCCTATGGTGTTGGCTTAGGGATTGTACCCCCTGCCATTCTCCACTAAATATTTTATATTTCTGAATCCATTATTGAAAATCCTAAATGAACCACAGCCATCCTTTCAGCTATTCATTTAATCGTCTAAATGATTCAACAGTAGGGAGGCAGATAAAGGAAATGCAAAAATATTGATATATCAAACTTTACACTCATCTACCTGGCACCAAACTCCTCTGTGGACTTGCTGTGCCTATAACATTTTTCTGGCTTGGAAGTGCTTGGCTGCTTTCAGATGAGACTCAGGTGGTGTGGTTACTGTGGTCCGGGAATGTTGCTAATTCCAAAGAGATGCCAACTCTCTCTACTCATTTTATTCTTGTCACTGTGTGAAATAGAGGGTGTGATAGACAGCTCTAGTCTGTCAGTACCGGTGACTCATTATAACCTGTGTGTGTGTCTGTGTCCCCATTTAGGATTTCTGAACATCCAGTCTTGGCCTGAAAACATGACAGACTTGAGTGTTTTCTCCAACTTGGCAACTATTGGGGGAAGATCACTGTACAGGTAGACATATAATATAATAGAGCTCACTACTTGAAGAGGAAACAGGAAATGAAAACCAAGCTAGTAATAGATTTATGAGTTTAGTTTTATTTTTTACCAAAATAAAATAGTTTTCTCTGACTAAAAGTCTTTGGGAAATTAGAAAAAGAGTAAATTCAATGGTGATTGAATTTGTCAAAATGTATTAAACCTTCTGTCTAATCAGTGACATGATAATTACAATTGAACACTGTTAAAGGTGGCCTGTGGAGTTTCCTTGTAACACACCATTCTTGTATTCTTAAGGTCTAACAAACATGGTGAGTGCATTTCCTTCCTCGGAAAACATTTGCAAAGCTGATTCTGATTAACTGCAATATTAATACAACTTGCACACTTATACATATCAAATTGACTTTTACGTAATTGTTTAATTGTTAGCACAACTACTCAGTTTTTATTCATTTTAACACATACATGTGGTTTGGTTGGGTATGCTTCTATAGTCAAATTGTTTTTTTTTTTTCATTTCTATTATAAAAGAAATATGGCTAACATTAGCTGGCACCAAAGAATTGGTAGGTGCCCACAACACCTTTTGTTTTGACATTTAATAAGCCAATTTAGTTGTTTTAACCTAGCTGATGGAACATAATTAATTGGCATTTAATATTTAGTGATTTTCCAAAGGTGCTCTGAAAATGTGCATGACATTTGAATAGAAACAAAATGAGCGTCTGTGTAGCTGATGGCATGGTGCTTCTTTGTGTGTGTGTCTGAGTGTGCGCACAAGGGTGTGTGTGCAAATGAGTCTGTGTGTGTGTGTGCACCTGTGTGTCCTCCACCTGCAGATGGAAACAGCAGGCTACAGTACAAATTACAGCCTGCCACCCACCCTTATCCCATGCTTAATCCTGCATCCTCTCTGTCTAACTGATGGCTTTGACATCCCACTGGCCTCCTGTCATTTTTAAACTGTGCTAGTGGGGCACATGGGGAAGAGTGGGAGAAGGAGAGGGAAAGGGAGGCAAAATGTGAAAAGAAAAAAAATTGAAATAAGCAGAAGCAGTGTATTAATTGAAGTTTGACAACACTAGAATATTTAAAGTTCTAGATGGAACATTTTAAATCATAAACACAGTTTATCATTGTGAAATGATGTAATTATTGTACACAAACAAGACCATTGTGAAGATAATTGGTAGAACCATTTACTTTAATTTGTTATTTGTTTTCTCCATATATTTACTTTAACATACTGAAAGTCATTTTCCACTGAGTAAACGCACTGTCCTAAATGTTCTGTTTGGATTTTGTACTGCAATCCATCACATTCCCATCCAAATCTGACTCTGTGGCTTGGAGTGTAAAGTGCAACAAAGAGGCTCCTAGGTGAAATGCGAGTTGTACTTTTGAACAACATCTATTGTGCACCTATTCTGCATTACTGTTTTAAATTCTGTGGACATATTAAGTGTTAATCAAGACTTGTCAAGTTTGGGTGTAGGATGCATGTGTATGGGCTTCCCTCTGACAATGGCTTGTTTCGGTTGTCAGTATTGACATTTTTATTATTTAACCTTGAACACAATCGCTCCCTAACCATAACCACATGGTTTAAGGTTTAGATAAGTTAAAGAATAATGTATTCAGGCAACATTGTATTTCCCTCAAATGGGTAGTTTGCATATTAATATCATTTGTAGGAGATACATTGATTTGGAAGATAAAGCAAGTTATACAACCTTCATAATACAATACAACAATAAGTTGCATAGTAACATGACAGAAAAAATATATGATTTTAACAAAAAACCTGATCAAAACCTGAAAAATAAATCCAACATCTCTCCCTTTCTCCTTCACTTTTTTCTCCTTTCCTCTCCCTGTTACACCTCATCCCTTCTCCTTTTGCCCTTCTCATCTTCCTTCCCCTTCTTATCTGACCCTCTCTTCCTCTCACCTCCACTCATTCTTCACTCTCAGTGGGATTTCCCTACTGGTGTTAAAGCAGCAGGGCATCTCATCATTGCAACTCCAGTCCCTAAGAGAGATCAGCGCTGGGAACGTGCACATCGCAGAGAACAGCCAGCTTTGCTATTACAGCACCGTCAACTGGACAAGATTGTTCCGCACTGCAAACCAGAAGGTTCTGATCCGCAACAACCAAAGCCCTCAGCAATGCTGTAAGTTCATACAAAAATCATCACAAACACTACAAACTAAAAACTCAGGTGTTCCTGTACCAAAACAGAAATGGAGGTGCATGCCTTGTTTTACCGTGGCATAGGGGTCACATTCCATTTAATCCCAATGTTCCTAGTTTGATTCTGCAATGTTTTACCATTTTCTTGCCACTTTTGGAAAATAGCGTATTTTCACAAATCTGGATGTTGGTATACACATGGCATACAAAAGCATCAATCTCATAGTTTTTTTCAACTTAGAGTGAGTACGTAAGAAATACAGTATCACTCCCAATTAAAGTACAATTGGAAAAACTAACCTGTAGTCGATCTAAAAAAAGAACAGAATGGAGCCACTTAATCCTTTTTACCAGCCCAGTTTGTTTTGTATCTAGTTTTGGCTGAAATGTGTGTTGCTCACATATTTTACCACTATCCCAGCTTAGTCTCTTTGAATCTTAAACCCAGTGTCCAAAACTGTTAAAACGTTAATGCCTTTCATCATTATTTCTCCTGTTATGTGATGTTCACGGTGAGCTAAATGGTAGGAGACTTCATCAGCTGGCAGACTTTAGAAATTATTAAACAGCACTAGAACGATTGAACAAACTTGCCTCAACTTGGCCGCGAACAGTTGTGGGTCCCAAATCACGACCATAATCATCTCAACAATCGTAATGTGTGTCCCCACCTTTAGCCCCACTACCTGGTGGAATGTCCTGAATGGCTGTTATTTATTTGTACTGCTCACTGTTATGAACTGTGATGTATTTTGAAGGAAAGGAATATCTACCATGTCTGTTAAGGCACTTTAATATGCAGTTAACTTCACTGTGCGTGGACACAAAAACAGTAACTTGTCATCACTATTATTATCTGCCTAGCGTATGACTGGAAGCTATTATCTCACTAATATATAAGGACAACTAAAAACAATAATCCCATTATTAGACTAATTAACCAACAGAACCATTCAGAGAAAGCAAGGTTTGGCCAAACTAACTTAGGCAAATATCTGAAGTGATGAGACAAAAATTGTGTCTCTAAAAATGGGAGAACTTTTTATTATATCACTGCCACAAGTGTTAAGACATTATTCATTTATGTATAATGTTCATTAATGAGCCAGTATTTGCATTATTGAGTTGGCCCCCTTTCACTCTTCATGCGCTCCTTTCCCCTGGGCAGTTCCTTAGTGTTGGGCACACAGGCGTACACACTCTCTCTCTCTCCCTCTCTCTCTCTCTCTCTCTCTCTCTCTGTCTCTTTCTCTCTCTCTCTCTTGTGACTTTGAAGACTTTGGGTGAGACTCAACAGTCACACACTGCTCTCCTTGACATGGCTCTGCGTGTGTGCATCGGAGTGTGTGTGTGTGTGTGTGTGTGTGTGTGTGTGTGTGTGTGTTTGTGTGTGTGTGTGTGTATAGGGGGGTTTGTGTGTGTGTCTACACTTGACTGAGCCTAGCAGGGACTGGGAAAGGGGAAGTCTCGCACCCTTACAGGGCAACAAAGACAGAGGAGAAGGAGTTATGTGCCCATTTATTCATTTGTAGTGTTGGTTCTTACAGTAGCACTTCCTATAAGCTGAAGTACTAACTAAGTTTGCCAGCTGACACGACAAAAATATAATCACGATTTGTGGTTTGTTTGTTTTTTGTCAAATTATGCTTAAATGTACAACAAAGAGCGTTTAACTGGTAATGAAGCAGTAGCAATTTAATAATGATGCCTATATGACCTACACAAACAAACACTAGGGATGTATTGATACACTCAACTCCTGTTTTGATATAGTTCACAATATCTCGAGACAATCTTTCTCACCATTTTTTTTTAAACAAAACTGAGATTGAAGACAAAACAAAAAAAAACAAAGCCTATCAGGTTTTGCTTTGAATGAAAATTAATTCAAAAAAATCTCTTCACTGTGCTTTAAACTGCTCACTTTCTTTTAACTGAGCTATAATTTGACAGTCAGAAGAAGTCTGGTTGTAAACACTATTACTAACTATCTCTTACGAGTTTTGACTGAACATTTTTTCCAATTAATGTTGTCAAAGTTAAAGCATCATGGGTTGTAACAATAGCACACAAGTCCCATTGAGTCAACATCTGGTTCTAGTTTGTGTTCAAACAGAAAAGATCTGTAGAAAGGAAGAATGTGCTCATTTTGTATCAAAGCGAGTATTAACTGATAAAGACAAGCTTTTAGCTACTAGAACCTAGGACAACTATTTGACAAAAGTAAATTCCAGAGCCTATAATAGGGTCCTTAAACTTACTGTTCAGTTATGACACATTAGCAATAAAATGTCAGTTTTTTATAATAATACTTTTAGAGTGCAGAATTTGGGGTAATACATGACAGAGAAAAGTATCTTGTTTTCTTCACACACTTCTTCAAAAGGTCAAGGGATAGAGATTGCACCATTATTAGCCCCATCAATGCACTTAGAAGAATAAACTCTATCCAGAAAGGGCTCTTTCATAACCATAGCTTTCTCAATAATGTCTTAAAGACCGTGCACTTCACACACACGGTAAACCCACACAGGTGATTTTAATTGTTTTGGCTGCTTAGAGCGCTTCTCAAGAATGGGTGGGTGTGTACTGACTGTACTTAATTGTCATCTCCCTGTCACTCCCATTAGCTGCATATTTTATTGCAAGAGGAATTCCACCTTTATCATTCATATTAGTACCTTCAACCTGAGCAGAGATCTAATCAGCCAGAATGACTGCTTTAAGTTACAATCAGTATTCCTATATACAGTAATTCTTAAATAATGTTCTTCGTAGATTCGAACAATTGTTGCTGTTATTCGTGACTCCAGCTGATGCAACCAATGTAGTCTAGTTTCAAAATAAAAGATGTGATGACATGAACACTCAGTGGTGGCCAGGGGGCTCTTGTAATGCAGCGATTTAATTAATTGCAGTTTAAAACCAGGACTCCGTACTAGGAAAAAATTATGTTTTGCATTTTTTAGGATATCTATGATTTCTATGACTTTTCTTCAAACTAATTACTCCTAATTCCTAACATTAAAAGTTTTGAAAAAAAAGTTAGCACACCCATTTTGTTGTCCCATGTTGCACAGGGGCAAGGTTATTTCCCCAGCTGCCTGCTTACACACTTTAGGCTTCTCAATGGCTGCCCTGCTTTGCTTTCAATGCCTCCTTTGATACAGAAGAAAGGGATGCAGGAAGCTGAAGGCAACAGTTGAGTTCAAACTACATATCCCCCCACAACCCTTTTAATCTGTTAACCAGCATCACATCCCAGTTCTGTGACAGGTGTTTGTTTGTTCACTTATTTTTATTTCATTTTTGTCCTGTTGTTTGTTTTTCATTTGTTCTTTTGATGATTTGACTTATTTTCTCTTTGTCTTATTTCTTTTGTTTTCTTTCTTTGTTTCTTTCTTTCTTGCCTTATTTCATGCCAGTTACAAGCCTTTATCATACTCATCATCATAGCTTGTTCTCCTCCCATGGGACTCAAAAAGGCACCTGTCAGCATGAGCCCCATGGGCTTTTGTTTTCCAGCCATGTCAGAAACATCTGAAGTTGGTATCTTTTTGATCTTGCAAGTGCTGTATAGTTAAAAATCCATCCAACCTCTCCTCCTCCCGTGTTTATTTCCTTTTTCTCAACACCCATCATTCCTCCTTCTCCTCATCTTTCCCTCTGCCTGGTCAGTTTACCTAAAGGCACTGGATGCCCAACAGAGGTGGGTTTGTTTCTTGTGAAAGGCAATGCTTTCATCCTCTGCCCTCAAAAGAAACACTTGATTTCTGTTTTCTCCATGTATCTGCATCCTTCTGTGTGAATTCTGCTGTGAACAGCAGGTGCTTCTTTTTATAACCATGTTCATATGGAATGGAGAAGAGAAGAGAAGAGAAGAGAAGACTGTTTTAAATCGATAGACAAGGGGAAAGCACGTCAGATGCAGATGGGGTGATAAAAGTTGCCAGTGTATCTGCAGTGCTGTCACCGTGTTACTTCAACACTCTCATTTTGTCACTATAATGCTCTCAGATGTAGCAACTTTTGTAGAAGCGAGTGCTGAAGGGGGACAAAGAGAAAGCGATAAGAGACAGGCACAAGAAGAGAATGGAACAGAGTAAATGTAATGGACCGCGTCTGTTGGTACCATATGAGAAACAGTGAGGCAGAAACAGAGAGCACAGCATACAGATCGTTCGCTATGAATGGTCTGGGGGAAGGGGGCGTTTTTCTTTGTACGACTGAATGCAATCCAAAGTAAATCCAAACGACACGTTTCACGCTTGTCTCTTTGTAAATCAAAGGTGGCTTTCATTTTGGCTTTACATGATTATCCGAACAACCAACAATACTTGTTTGGACTGTTCATGTGCAGCAATGGATTTGTGTGTTGAAACCAGACTCTGCTATTTTTGGATTGAAGCCAAAAGAAAATCTTTATTTTTAATATTCAATATCGACATGTTTGATCCTTTTGACAGCAAAAATTATGAGAGGAGATGAAAGGGTCTGAATATAGACAATAAAGTTTCAGGCTGAAATTCTCGCCTTCTCTTCTGTAAGTCTAAATCAACAAGTCTGCATGGCATCTGCAGGTGCCTTCAAGGTCCCACCAGTGCTTCGTCACTGTTGGCTCAGCATTTTTATAATGAAGCAGCACAGCTCACTCCTTTGCTAGCTCGATGGTGAGCATTACCACACAGTACTGTACAACACACACACACACACACACACACACACACACACACACACACACACTATGAATAAACAGACTACTTATATAAATACAGAACATATAGTATATACATGCAGAATGGATGGCCATCACAGTCTTTGACTTAACTAAGGTAATGAATCTAATGTTTTAAAAAGTGTAACTGTTGCCGGGATTGAATGGAATCATTTTATTAGAGGAACCAGGCTGTTTTTCAGTTCATGTCATTGGGTTCAATGAATATTGTTGACATTTTCTTGCTCACTGAATAGAAATAGTGTAATCCTTCAGCACGTCTTTGAGACCCACACCTATTCCTCTGTAATTACTCCTTACATTGATTAGGAAAGTTGTATCTACAAAAACACACCTTTTATAGACCATTGCAAATGAACAGCTGCTCTGTGAAGGCGGAGAAATGTGATGTAGGAATGAACCTTCACAAATTGCATGTGTCTTAGTACATCTAGCCTGTTTTTTCATTAATAATACGTCAGTTAATTTGAGCTAATTTAGGGTTCATTCTTTGCATCTGCATTGAGTCATCAAAGCACAACTTAATTCTACATGTGTGTAATTCTGTGTTCTTCTACTGTCTTTCTTTTTGTGTCTGTGTGTATTGAGCAGCCAAGGAGAACATGGTATGTGACCCGCTGTGTTCGGACGCAGGGTGTTGGGGTCCTGGCCCAGACCAGTGCCTCTCCTGCAGATACTTCAGCCGTGGACGAACCTGTGTGGACACCTGCAATCTTTATGAAGGGTGAGTTATGCATGAGCGTGCACACATACACTCAGATACATCAATACATTCACTTATGTCATCCTGACTGGTGGATTACATTGTGCTAGTTAGATAAATGGATGTATGGTCAGAGGTTAGGTAGCATTCTTGCTGCTTGACTGATGGAGGGAGATAGCATATGGAGAATAGGCCTTTTTCCAGCACCCATTTTGACATGAAATAGTAGTAATAGGTTAATACAGGTGTCACCAGTGATACTAATTAAGGTTCTGTTCCATTCAGTCAAACAGAGCAAGATAATAGATTTCCTTCGTGTAAGCAATGTTCTGTCTAATACATGTAACACATACAATTTTTGGTAAAGAAATGAAGCTTTCCGGCAGTGCAGCACCGATGAGCCACCACACCTGAAAGAAAAAAAACAAAAAACAAAAAAAAAAACAGGGGATTTATAATTTCCTTCCCTCATAACAAAATGTGTAGTTTCTATATTTGACAAGATACCACCTCTTTCCTCTCTTTCTGATGAGTGCACTTGCTGTATCAGGCTGTCCAAAAGCATGGCTAATTTAAAGCAAAATAGAAACTGAAGAAAAAGATCAACGTCTCTTTTGAGGGTAACAAAATTGAAGACACTACTTTATCTTTCAGCCAAGTAAATCGCCACAAAAGAAAAATTGCAGGGCATCAACACTCCCACCCACACACTCCCTGCCTTGTCCCTGTCACCCCAAATACCCCATGTTCTTTGGGCAGGAATGTAATTCATTTCAAAATGTCAATTCAGAAGGTCCTAATCAAGGAAACCACTGATCTTGCTCCTACTTATCATTCTGCTCGTGCTGCTTTCATTAATTGTGTGGAGCAAGATTCATGCAGCGGACAAAATCAGCCCACATTCATTCTTGTTTCGTTGTCACAAGTTAGGCAGCATCAACATGGAAAAACTGCAACACTCAATATGATAACAAATGGACATGGATAAATAACACTTTTATTACCAGTGACATAATATTAAAAAAAAAGTGTTTTAGCTGAAGCATTCCTGCCAAACATTACCTTCAGTCTATTTTGTTCAACATATTGTCATATTGGTAAGGGTATACAGGCCCTCAAAACAAAATTCTTCATGTTTGGATGGGTTCTCAGAGCTGTTATCAGACAGGCATTCGCTTTAACTACAATAAGGTTAGTGTACAGGTGGCTCCAGCTCTTCGTATGACAACAAACAATTCTGCAATTTTGCCTGATTTAGAGAAATTTTATTTGAAAGAACATCATGTTCCCTCCCTGTCCCTCGGCAGCACAATTTATGGTCAATCACTGACCTTGGAGATGAACAGTTGTAGCAATAGAAAGTGTCTGGCAAGTCTCTATGGAAACCAGCAAGTGTCTTTTCAAGTGGCGGACATGGTTGGAGCTAACTGCATATACCTCATCTCATCCAACAGTAACAGTTAAAGAAAATCTAAAGAGAAAATCAAATGAACTCTAGCTGCATGAACAAAGTCGAACATGCACTCTCCAACTACAGGAAACCCACTGTCAGTCAAAATAAGGTTTGGTTTTGGTGTCTTTTGATCATATTCAGAACACTGAGGCTACGTTCACACTGCAAGCACAAGTGGCCTACATTTTCTTTCATAACAGTGTGAACAGCACAAATCACATGGAATCTGATCTTTTCAATTCTGATTTTAGCCACTTTCATTAATAATAACACTCTAGACTGCAGATGAATGATCCAATCCAAGTATGGTCTGATCTTGTCTTGATATTTACCGTTTATTTTGTTTTGTTGTTTTTGTTGGGTCTCTGTATGTTTAGTTTGTTTTCATCATATTTAGTTTAATTGTACGCTGTTATCTTTGTCAATTAATTTTTTTGTATTTTTTTGGCCCCCTGAAAACAAGATGGTTCATCTCAAGGGAATTTCCAATATATGTGGTCCAAATCAGATACAGGTCTGATGTTTTGCAATGTGACCTCAGTGTGAACAGTCATATTAGAATTCATCAGTTCAGTCACTCTATCGACATTCGTCATGGGGGTCACTTCAGGACCGTAGCCTGTTCACCCTGGAATTGGATATTTAAAAACATGTGAACTGCCAAAGAAAAAAAATCTGCTCTGGGCAGCTAAGAGCTGACAGGTAAGGCTTGCAGTGTTATCGTAGCCTAAGGCAGGTAGACCTGTGAATGAACTCCTCCCGGTGCATTGTCTGCAAAGGGTACCAGTTTAAATCTGGCTAAAATTCCTATAAAATTACATCACGGTGCACATCACTCTACAAATCTTGTTTTAGCTTTTCTTTTATTAAAAAAAAAAGTGCTGAACACTTGAAATTAAATGATAGTATACTTACTTAATGTGGCTCTTTCAAACCTAAAAAGAGTGCTTTCCAATGGTACCTTGTATATTGTACATTTAAATTCAAAACTGTGACAGTTCCACAGTACAGGGGTCCTGATGGAGTATGCTTGCTACTTATTGGTCTTAGGTCTCCAATGACAAACAGGCAGAAAACCTGAAGCTTTGGTTCATAATGTAATCAAAAAATCCCCATCGTCATACATTGTACAACAACTTGGATGTTACCAGTGCAGGGAAGATTAGACAGATTCCTTTATTAAGTACTTGACAGAAGCCCTGCTGGAGCGTTCTGGATAGGTTTCAGAAGAGTGAAGAAGCAGTAGAATGGGATCAAATCAAGGACAAATACATGAACATGTATCGACTCATCCTATTCAGCTATGAATAGGAGTGATAACATTTTCAAGTGATCCTGTATTGTTGGAAGACCTGCTGCACAACCTGCTCATCAAAACTTAAAAACCCTAAGGCTCTTTGTTACAGCTTTTAAGCTCACCAGTAATTTTCAGTTTACTATGGATAATATTTAAGAGCCCGGGGCTGAAAAGAACAATTTAAGACGTAGTGGTGACTCGGTTTAAAAGGCACCCCTCCAGAGTTTCTGAACAACAGGGGTACTTTGACTTTAAAAGGAAGTATAGCTTGATGTGATCCACCTCACAATGGAAGGTGACAACAAGACCCGCACCCCTGGTGAGTTTTACTAATAACATTTTAGAATTTTTGACTTGCTTTTTAGCAAGTCTCAACTTGATCAAAAAATACGTGACAGATATGAGGAGGACCAGAAGGTGCTGTTAGGGCAGGGGGGCTAGGCGTGTCACTGCGTGTCACAGTCACTGCTTGCGCACGGGGCCACGCCCTGCCTACCTGTCCACCTGCACGTCAGCACCACCCACACCGTCAGTGTTACCAGAACAACCAGCACACCGTCTACCAAATACAGAACTTCTCTGAATGCTCCCCCAACCCTTTACTCTCTGAGCCTTGCCACATTGTGTGTAACATTTCACGCTTTAAATATTTTATATTTCATTATTGTTTGTGCCTTTATTTGGTGTCTGCTCAGTATTTATCAAGTAATCAAATCTTTATGTTACCCTGAAGTTGACATTTGATCTAGCACTCCGATGTAGAGTAGTTTAGAAGTGGAAGCACAGCAAATCTACCTTGACAAGGATCGCTCGACAGTGTGCAAGACTTAACTAATATCAGTTGTGCATGATAAAAACTTGGACTTTAATATATACGCCGCTTGCTAAACCACAAGTATTGAACCAGAAAAAATATATTTTTATCTAAAAAACAATAGTGATTTTCAGTTTATGTGGATTTAGCCTCAGTAGTTCATGAAAAACAAAAATAAATTTCTCTACAAAACATGTGTCAGACAGCAGCAAAATGATTAGCCTGAATTGCCTTACATCCCCGTGGATTTGTCAATGGTTGTTACAAACACTTTGGATGTTATTGTTCAACATGCAGGTTTATTTGTTTGTGTGAACACATAGGTTTGGAGGTGGGATTATGTCTAAAAGCCATTTGAAATGAATGTTCATTTTACATCAAATCCATATAAAGGTTTATTATGCACTGCAAATGTGTTGCTGTATCTTTGTCCCAATACAGACAGAAAAGCTGAAAACAGCAGAACATCATGCAATAGCCTATAAGTCTTAAGCTTCAGTGATATCTTCCAGCTACACTGCAGCCTTTATTATTTCAACCAACACACACCCAGACAAAGCCTTACCTCCCCTGCCTCCTGGAAGGTTTTATGAAGGCCAGATGAAGCATAATTAATACTAATTTGATTTAGATCCCACCGGGCCAACGACATTTTTTTTCTTCTATTGCTGAGATTAAACATTCTGTTTTTCCTCACTGACCAAAAGAGAAGTACCCAAAAGTCATTCTCCTTGTCCCGTAGTGACAAAGGCAAAGTGCCAACTCAGCCGCACTGTGGTCAAATTTAATGACTTTTCGAGGCCACTCTGGTGCTATTATAAGGGGATTGCAGAAATTGAATAACAAGGCACTTAATTTAATTGATTTTTGAAAACGTTGCAACCCTCATAGGTACTGCACCTTTCAACTGCGCCGACCTCTTGCGTGATGGTATCAGTAATATTATGCTTGTGGGTGTAACAGGATGTGTGTGTGTTTGTGTGTGTGTGTGTGTGTGTGTGTGTGTGTGTGTGTGTGTGTGTGTGTGTGTGTGTGTGTGTGTGTGTATCTAGTAGTAGTTAGTTAGTATTAAGCAATAATTCAACAGATCATTGCCATTTGATTTGTTTTTCTTTAGTGCAAGTTGTCCAGTAGGCAATTCCACTAAATTTGCAGACTTATCTATGAGGAAAATGTACTTTGACTGATTTTAAAGTCCATGATAGAAAACATGAAGCCACAATGTGATGTGATGATGAAGTAATTGTTGTTTGAGACATTATGGTATGCTAAGTTGAGAGTCAGTGCTGCATTAGATTCTGTTTCTGGTCAGTCACATGACACATTCAGAGAACTGGAAGTTTCCAACGGGAAAAAAATTGTGTTGCCCTAGAAAGACAGATCCTAAAGACTGGGGTACCTGCAGACCCCAGAGGTATGCTTTGTCATATCTCACAGGTGCTTTATTCTATAATTTAAAAAACGTGTAGCTTTGTCAATCAATTAGGTCTTTATGACTTCATATAATTATCTGTTGTTTTGTCTGTTTTAATTAGTGCTTTCTAAAAAAAAAAAATACCAATATATTATGGTCCTGGGTAATCCCCAGTCAAAAGCACCTAATCCTGCCTCTGCAGTTTTAACAGATGTTGAGTTTATTTTCTCTCTTTCTCTCTCTTCTTTTTTTAAGTACACACACTATGAGGGGCTTTTTTTATTTATTTTTTTTCTTAAAATAATAATACTTTTATTTAGGTTTTTTTTCTCAAAAGACATAATAGAAGAAATAAATTATAATTTTGCGGCTGGTTGTTTCTTACAGTAATGGTGACGGTTAAGAAGCATTTGACATCTGACATTTTGTGTTTTGGGAAATAGTGAAAATTGTATAATTACTATCATCGTGAAACACTACAGACATAAGTTATGTAAAAAGCACCAAGGTGTTATTTATTATTTGTGGGTTCTCAGAAATCAAACTTCTTTTAAATCAGCTTAAGCTACCAACTAAACCTGACACCAAAAATGAAAACGGAACATTTCAGACACACTTTGGTTTTACGAGCCACATCCTTTTGTTTAAAAAGACATGTCTAGACTTAGCACTGCTTTATTTACCGTCTGAACATGTATTGAATAATGAGTTCAATATAGGTGATTGAAAACGTGTTGCTGTCTTTTAGCTCCCTTCATGTTTAAGTTAAATAATTAGGCTCATCTTATTAAAAGGGCTATCACAGGATCAATGTAGATTTAAGGAACTGTGTGTCTGTCCAAAGTAAACTTGTGTGAACGTTTAACATCCATAGTGGCTGAGGACACAAAGCCATGTTATTATTTTATATCACAAATAATATTTTGCTCTGCCTCTTCTCTCTCTCTCTCATCCCTCTGTCCCTTTCTATTCCATTCCCATCTTAATCCTTCCCTCCATCCCTTTCCTCCTTCTCTCTCAGGGATATTCGAGAGTATGCCAACGGGTCGGTGTGTGTGGAGTGTGATGGCCAGTGTGAGCGAGCGGACGATGACTCTTTGACCTGCCACGGTCCGGTAAGCTTGCTCCTATAGATAACAGTAGTGAGGCAGACTGAGGAATTCATTTCGCTCACATATGTCTTCTACTGCTCATACTCATCATTAAAAGGTTCCTTCCTAATGCATAAGTGAGGTGGTGATCTTAAAATGGCCAGTGTATGAGCATTTAAGACATACTTGAACAGTTGTGAACCTTTAACACCACTGAGAAACAAAAAAATACAAGACAAAAAGATTGGATAAAGTAAACATACCACCAATAAAATTGCACCTAAAGTATAGTGCTGATGATATCCTGTATTTATCACAACAAATCCCATTGAAAGACTAAAACCAACAAAAGATTATTCCGCCATCAGTTGATGTTTTTTTTTGTGCTGGGCACCACAAAGAAAGGTATTCAAGGCCATGGCATTGCTTCACTCAACACAAACCAAATGACTTGGAGCTGTAGACGTTCCCTGTGGTTATGTTAGACTATGATTAATTATTGTATTAGCAGTCGAAGTGTGCCTTTTAGCTGTTCTATCGATTATGTCTCATGTCCTTACTCATAAAAGTGATTGTTCTAGCTGAGCTCAGCATTGTTTTGTGAGAATTTGTATTCAGTACATGTGTGCTCATGTGTATAGGATTCTTTATATCATGTTAACCATCAAAAATATATGTAAAAACAGACAGCGACTCTTTTTTCTTCCTTTTAAGAAGAAAAAGTAATTGCTATATTTTTTTTTTCTAAAAAGGTATTTGTACTTTTAACAAACCTTTTGCATTGCAAACAGTCTTAGAAAAGTCTAGAAGCTTTTTGAAAGATTTTTTTAGTCGCAGCTGTACATTAGAAAATGCCAGAGTAAAAAAAAATCAGTGACCTTCATTTCCGTCTGCCTCTTTTGCACCCTACACCCACAGCCACATGAGGCTTCTGACCCTGCGCTTTCTCTTAAAATCGTATCTTGCTGTTTGATAGAAGGGGATGATTTGCGACAGATGCAAGCCAGAGGGAACGTGTGCTGTCTTTTGTTTCCCATCACACCCTGTCAGATAGTTTGCCCAATATAGTTTAGGAGGGTGGAACTTGTTGAAATGCTGGAGTGTGTTTTGTGTGTGTGTGTGTGTGTGTGTGTGTGTGTGTGTATATCTAGTAGTAGTTAGTTAGTATTAAGCAAGAATTCAACAGATCATTGCCATTTGATTTGTTTTTCTTTAGTGCAAGTTGTCCAGTAGGCGATTCCACTAAATTTGCAGACTTATCTATGTATATGTGTGTAAGCATAGGAAATGAAGGCCAAAGTTAGCACATCTATGGTTATTGTTAATGCACTGGTTTGATTGTATTGGCAGTCCACTTGATACCACAGCCCTGCCCTTGGTTTTCTTAGATAGGTGATGTGAAGGTGAGTGCTATGAAGAGAATAACACAGTATAGCCGTAGCTTACTTTTAGCAGTTTTATTTAAAAAAAAAAGAGAGAGGTGAGAAACCTGAAAAAAGCAGGCACTTGGCACATGACAGATTAGTAATCTGTAATGACTTTCATTAGCTGTGTAAATATTTACATGTCTCAGCTAGTTCATTAGATATATTATTGGTACATATTGATAATTCTTTATTACTTGAAAAGTATTGAGATTTATATAGAAAGATAAAATTCATACGTATGACTTTATACATGACTTTTCAGCAAACGTGTCACTACCTTTTTTGGCACCCTGTAATTTCCATACACTGAACATTTTCGAGCCTGTGAGTGTGTGTGTATGTGTGTGTGTGTGTTTGTGTGTGTGTGTGTGTGTGTGTGTTACTTGTCAAGCTGTTATAGTGGAAATGTTCCAAGGTAACCTGTTGGACCTCAAGTAGATGTCACATGTGCAGCACAGGCAAACAAATGGATTACAGCAATCATGTTACAGCCACAGAGCCCATAGCAATTACATTATAGCTTTCACACAGTGATTTGATAGGCCCAATGCCCTCTGCGGAGAGAGATTGCAGATATGACAGTAGCCATGAATACAGGCTATATTATGGACAGTATAGGTGATAATAAAAGAACTAGAGATGCTGTTGTTGATCAGTGATACAAACACACTTGGTTTATCTCTAGTAAGCACATCTATTACTGTGTATTACTGAAAGATTGGTGCAAGCTTACAACTCACAACAGGCACTTCAGCTCAGCTCAGCTCAACTGAATTATCCTATTGAATACCTTAATTTTCTGCAACAGACAAGATTTGGTTATAACACGTCACTGCAAAATGTGATTTTTTTTTGTGATATATATCACTAATTTTATAATTTTAAGTTACAAACATGGCAGCCTGTGTTATTTTAACTGGACATATATATGTTGAATTATACATAGTATTTGTTTTGAAGGCAGTCCATAAATGAATAAAAAATCCCACCCCCTGTTAAAGGTTCCAAATCTATTTCCTCATCCTGTATTAGCATGCTTTACTTTACACGCTTTCTTATAAATTTAAAGTTTTTTTAATGACTTGTCAATATGTTCTTGAGAAGGATAATTCTAATAACTAAAAGTTTTGAGGATCTAAAAAAAATCTATCTTTCAATATTGTCTTTGTTACTTTTTTCTGTCTTCTCAAATATTTTTTTCCCTTTATGTTTGAAACAAGTTACAAGATTGTTGCACTGTAAATTGTATAGAACTATCCACTTGTTTCATGTATGGGATTGACACATAACTCTGAGGAACAAACAGGTCACTTTCATAGTACAACATATGATATCTAAATAAATTACATCTGACTCTGCTGGAGTGGCTATATATTCTTTATGACACTGAATTAAATTGGATAGTCATATTCATGGGAGCTACCACATCCATCTCTTTCCCATTTGTCCCACTGTTTCTTTCTTACCTCCTCGCCCCTCATCATTAATGCTTCAAATTATTTTGTGGTGTGATCGTTTTCTAAGACTCCCAGTGTGGTAGTATATTTAAGGACTCTAGTAGATATATAGCAGACCATAATGACTTGGTCTATACATTATATCATAGTAAAATAAATTGTAAATCCTTCCTGATGTACCTGATTAAGCTTTTTATGTGGCTACCTGTTAAAAGTCTTGACTATAAGCTTTGACACTGTAAAGATTAATTCCCAATCATCCTGAGATACTTGTGTGGTTTTGTGAATAAAAGGGAAGAGCGAGAGATATAAATATTCATTGACACACACACTCCAACAACATTACACTCAAACTTAAGTGTCAAGCGAGCACGCAAGTGCATGAGCAGACCAATTTAAATTTACAGCAGGGTACTTTAGTCGCGACACTGTGCATCCCTGTCATTTTTTGGATGTCCCAATACCCTGCTGGACCAAACACTATTTGTTTGCTCTGTCACATAATTTTTGCTCACTGATGTGATGGGATTATTGGATACGCTCATACAAACACACACACACAAACACGCACGCACCAATAGCCACGGGTGGGAAGACACTCAAAGTGCCAGGTTTTGAATGTTAAAGCCAGCGAGAGCAGCAAGACTTTCAGTTTGCATAATTATACCAGGGCGAATGTATGTTCACACACACACGGAAGCTACAAAGAACACATGCAGAGGCATTAGCGTATGCGCACTCATACACACAGACATACATGCATGCAAGACCATGCACAGACCCTACTTCAGGTTATGCCTTAACAAGCACTCACGCCTCCACTCGCCAAAGTACAGTTGCCTTTGATATCATCTTTTTACCTTGGTGGCCCCTTGTTTATTGAGAACAGTGCGTGTGTATACTATACTATATCTGTTAATGTGTTAATTATTGTGGGTGTGTGGACATCCATGTAAGTCGACATGTGACTTAAAAGAATGGTTGTTGATTTGATTTCCACTCTCTGTTTATATGTGTGTTTTTTTGTCAAGGAGGTGTTCTTTAGACTTGTGTTGTTTGTCAATGAGATGTTCTTTAGGCCTGTTGATGATACGAGCCCTGTCTGGGTGAGCTCTTCGCCTCTCTTCCTCTCCTCCCCTACATCCTCCCTCGCCTATATTAGCTCCATAAATCCTGTTCTAGGCGGATTGTTATGGTCATTGTGTGTGCTGTGAGCGATGGTTATTATCTGCCTGCTCCACTCACACTGCTTTATGCGTCTCGTCTGCTCTCTCACTCTCTCCGTCCTTCTTCCTCTCTCTTATTCACACTATATCTTGCTTGCTCTCACTGCCTCTGCCCTTTGCTGTGTTATTCTGCATCCATGTCCACTCTCTCTCTCTCTCTCTCTCTCTCTCTCTCTCTCTCTCTCTCTCTCTTTCTCTCTCTCTCTCTCCCTCCTCCACTCTCCCTTATTACTCTACATTACTTCCTTTTTTAATCTCTCCTTTCCTCTTTTGCTCCCCGATACCTCTCTTTCGCTCTCAAGCTTTCATTGCTACACAGATGCAAGAAAAACAATTTAATCCATAAAGCTGCTAAGAAACCTGCACTTGGCAAGTTATTGATGTAGAAATATACCCATCAATCAGTCTACATTACAAACTGAGGCTACAGCTGATATCTCATCCCCTAAATTTGTGACACCACAGATTTGTCCTTTATGCCTGACTTCATGATGTCAGGTTTAGCTTTGTACAACATCCTCTCTAAACACAGGAAGTTTGGAATCAAAACTTGTGAGTTAAAACTGTCACATAAGCATCTGTGAGAGAAAGCTGAACTCACCATTGATAACTGATGATGTAACAAAAATACATGTTTTATTTCTCCAAACCCACCAGTCATGAAACAGTTTGCAGGGAATTCTAAGAGTTATCATGATACTTCACACTAACTGCAAAGCTACTTAAAAACTCTTCCACTGTAATCTTCCTTCATCATTAATGCTGGAATTGCTCTGTAATATGATGTCCAAACTTATATAGAACAGGCTTAATCAGAAATGACTCATGCCACTAGTTCCCAATGGTTATACATAAGACTACTATATATTTTTTTTCTACTACTGTATGTTTTCAAAATGAAAATGTGCATATGAAGAAACAATGTGTTTTGTTGTTTTTTTTTCACATCCCTTAGGGCCCTGAACATTGTGTGAAATGCGTCCATTTCAAAGATGGTCCTAATTGTGTAGAAAAGTGTCCTGATGGCCTGCAAGGTGCCAATAGCTTCATCTTCAAGTACGCAGAGGCCAACAATGAATGCCATCCCTGCCATGCCAACTGCACCCAGGGGTAAGTACTGTCAGGACTAGTCAGAGGTGTGAAGTTAGACAAAGTACAACATTTCTGTCATTCCTTCAGTTCCTTCAATCTATGAAATAGGAATGAAACCAAACAGTAATCATCATTTATCTGATAAGATCTAAATACATGGGATGTTTTCTACCAATTGTTATGTTAGATTAGAGAGGATGGTGAGTAATCATTGGGTGACACATAGATCATTTATAGTAAACTGACCAAAATGTATTTATTGTAATGGCATTACCACCATTGGTGGTAAAGTCAAGTACATTTTGTGAAGGATTTCACTTTGACAACTTTGATGCTGGTGTTCCACAAGTGAGTAGCAAGAAAGAAGTTGACGGTACAAATATGTCTGTTGAAGTGTGTAAAGTTATTGCGCTTGCTTGGTTGGCTATTGTGAGTTAACTTTCCGGAGTGACTTGGTACTTACAAAAAATTCTTACTAAATCTTTTCATTCTTTCATTGTAATTTCATTTGGCTTTTCATAGAATAGTGGCTTAAAAGTGCACAACTATTCCCTGTCACTATGTCCTGCTAACATAACATTATAGTCCAACATCTTGCAAGAAAATAGAGATAAATTGAGAGGTGAAGCAGAAAATGAGAAAGAAGAGAGGAAGAATGAAAGTGAGAGGAGTCGGTGAAGTACCTTGCCACTCTCCATTGCTCACTAGCCACTGATCGCTCAATGTAATATTCAACAAGGGATGGAAAGACATCATTTTGTATTTAACTCCACAGGGAGTTTATGTCACTTCCTTTGTGTTATTTCTCCTCTCCTGAGTGACAGCCTCCAGCTCGCTCGAGCATAACAATGTAGTTGTAAATGGAAAACACCAGGCTGACACTTTGTCACAGGTATAGCTTCATAAGCAGATACGCCTCTCAAAAAACAAGCTGTGGGAGGGAGAGGAAAGGGAGAGAGATAGACATTGAGGGAAAGAGACAGAGACAGGGATACTTTTAAATATTCAAAAGAGTTATCGAATTTTGGATCTATTAAGTCTGTCAGACATTGAATTGAAAGAGATAGTGCAAGGAGACAGAAAGAAAGATAATAGTGAAATCCCAGTGCTTTGCACTACTTCGAGTGTTTGAGGTATGAAAAAAGTTGAGGAGATGTTGTGAAATAGCATTTCTCATACCTACACACAGACAGTGTATGTTCTAATAGACATCAACATCAATAAGGGGTGTTATGGATAGATAAGAGTAATCCATAGATTTTGGATTATGTTAGCTTGAAGAATCGGGGATATGACAAGCACAAAAAAGTCCATACATGAATCAAACAACTTACTTTGACAAATCAATAAATTGACTGACACAAAGTACTGCAGTTCCATTCAGGTGGACTGTACTCTGATTAACCATTTACTAAAAGCACCTCAAAGTAACATGAATGCAGTTGCTTTAATGGACAGATTACCTTTTCATGTCACTAGACAGTCAGCTATAGAACCTTCACTACATGAAATCAAACCTTCCCAATCAAAACAAATCCTGTGCATTGCTACTGAAAAAGAAAACATTCCAATACATTCCAAATTATGTTTACCTACGTTTTTGTGAACTTAAAAATGGCTAATTTATAGCCGTAATATGTGTAAGTAAACAAATGTTAATTAATAGTACATAATAAATGGTAGATAAATGGTAATCCTATTATATAATATTATATCACTAATGATTGAAGGCTGCCACAGATATGTGCTATAATACAATATTCCTGCTTATATATATAATAATATATTATATATGTGTGGGTGTAGTGTAGAGAAGAACCACCCATTAACACTCTAATTTCACATCCTAATTTTATGTAAATAGGATGACCAAAGCATAAGGTAGGTCATTAGGTTTTGAGAATGATATATATATATCATTCTCAGGTATATGGCAAATGTGAATATGGTTGTTTTAACGTTTCCTTCTCTTGTATTTGTTTACTTAGGTGCATTGGACCAAGACTGCAGGACTGCATTGGCTGGATGGACAGGTACAAAATTATTTTCTGTGGATTGCCTCCATACTCTAGCATATAAACACACACATAATATGTGAACACACGCACGCACACACACACACACACACACACACAGAGTAAGCAAACTCTCTGATTAATGGCTAGCTGTAAGGCCCAAAATTCCTGAGTGTCCTTAATGCCTCTCTGTGCATGCATGCTTGTGTGTGCGTATGTATTATGTGCACAAGCAATTTGCCTGGTTTTTGATAAATTGATAGCGCTTTAGCTTTCATTCTGAGGCTTGGGGGGTGGGGGGGGTCTGGGACAAAATGCCGCTAACAGTTTACAGCAAATGGATTTCATGCGAGTAACGGTTTGGTATAAAGTGGTGCTGGAAATTGCTGAAAGGCAGAATGAGCAACCAAGACAACAGAACTTACTGGTGGATCTGAAGATCTGCAGGAACAATGCTGGACAGGACAGGACAGGACAGGACAGTGAAATGGTGTCACTTTAAACTCATCAAACTGAAAAAATGGAAACACATTAAGACTAGCTGGCAGCGTAGCAGGAGGCTGCTATTGTGGCTGTTCAAAAGAAAGACCCACACAGTTTGATACATTGACAAACAGATAAACATTTAGTAATTATTTACTGATCAGTATTCAGTGTCCTGAAGCTTTTACTGAGGCCAGTAGATGCCTAAGGAGAAAAAGATGAGTCCCTTTAGAGAACTGCTCAAAATCTAAACCTTTTCTCCAGAAACAGTCTTTGGGTTTCTGCCAACAACATGAAGGGGAAGTGCAGCCGATGGGGAAACGTAGCTATCAGCTGACCCGGTGCACAGATCAGCCCTTATCAGATCTCTGATACAGTAGCTGTGGCTAGGATACAGCTAACCCCAGGCTTAGCTGCCTGCTCCGAAGAGTCACAAATCTTGTAAATCTGTTACCTGTTGGAGGTATTGGCTTTTGAGAATGGCTGGAAGTGGCTTATCAGGAATACATGATTACACTAAGCCTTTAAAGGCCATCGTTCCACCTGGCATTAATATACATCTTGTGCAGGGATTGTGTGCATATCTGATTAAGCTGGATTAATCACTTCCTGTCACTTATGTAATATTTAGTCTGATGAAACTGACAAGTAATACCTCATTTAACATGTTCCCATTTGGCAGTATCTTTCCCATTTAATTCAAAATTATCAGAGCTGTCTTTTCTCTCGGTGTTCCCTGGATTTTACATGCATTTTTAGATTCTGATCCTTGTAATGGTGAGGAAAATTTGCATTTGATCTGGTCAAATGCATCCCTGACCAAGTACAAAGGTGGCTTGCTGGGTGATCTTTAGAACTGTATGTCCTCAGTTTATTTATAGTATAGCTGGGTTCTATCTGATCACTCAGGGCATCTGTTAATGTCACTTGGAAAGAGCATGTACGTGAAGCGTGCAGATTGAATTAGACATCTACACCGGGTCTCTGTGCTAAAATGACATTTGGTCATGCATAGAATCTTCGATGGCCTTTCTTTCTGACTGATATATGGATGATATATGCTATTTGTAGCTTTTTTCTTATCATCTAACTCTCAGTACGAAAGTTAAAAAGTGTATTTTGAACTATTCTTTTCCAACAAGTGTGACAATGACATTTATCGAGCTAAACATTTTACAGTTGTACAAATGACGTTTCAGTACTCTCTGCCGGACAGTTTATGTAATAGTGACACGGGATCTAAATTATTTTAAACAAATATTAAGAATTTTAATGTTCATATCAATTATCAGTACCAACATATCTTTAGTAAGCTATTGGCCAATATATCCACCTGGCAGATTTGTTGTTCAGGCTCTAGTTCTTACCAACTCTTTACCATTTCCCAAAATAGTGATTTTCTCCCTGTGCAAGCTAAAGAGAGAGATGTGGGGGAGATACAGAGTTCTTCACTTCCCATGAAGCCGGCTGCCTGTGATAACATTTTATGGGTTGTATCCTTGCAGACTGTGATATACACTCCTGAATAACTGCCCTTTTCCACTGATTTAAGGCAGAGTCTCAGTATGCCTTGACCAAATTAAGTTCTTCCATTACTGCAAAAAAAAGGAGGGATGAGGTGGTATACTGGAAAACTTTTCTCGCTCATTTCTGCATCAACTCTGTAGACAGTTTGGGGAGTATATCAGGAAAATTATTGAGAGGCTTGATTTCAAATGACAGCGTCGGTGTGGTGCTGAGAATTCACTTTGATGGTTATTTCCATGTTTTTGATCTCAGCCTCGATTTTAATGAGAGGGCATGAAGAGATATTTGTTACCAGAGGAAACTTAGTGGAAATACTGAAAAAAACTGAAGGTGAAAGGGTTTTTTACAGATCGCCCTCATAAGCATATACTTTGAAGACATGTTTTGTGTGTGTTTGTTTATTTACATGCTTATTTTGTGTTCACATAGCTGTATAAACATTCAGCCTTTTTGTCCTCATCATCTCTTTCTCCTTCTCAACTCATTCAACCTGTCCACCCCACCCCCTCCCCCTGCTGCCATCATCCCTGGCCTCCCGGTGATAATTTTCTATGGTTTCTCAATGCGTGCTTCCTCTTCTCTCTTCATCATTTACTTATTTTGCTCCTTCTTCTCCCCCTCCACTTTCTTGTCTTCAGAACCCCTCTGATCGCAGCGGGGGTGATCGGTGGCCTCTTCATGGTGGTGATCATGGTGCTGAGCGTAGCAGTGTCTGTGCGCCGGAAGAACATTAAGAAGAAGAGAGCCCTCCGTCGCTTCCTGGAGACAGAGGTGAGCAGGGCAGTAGATGAAAAACATTTCACAAGAAGGGAGAAATTGCTGCCTGTAGCACTGGAAGATAATGTTGTCAGAAGACTGTGCATGACTGAGAATCAGAGGACATTGGTGACATTTGCATTGCTCTTGGCTTTTTTTCTTGAGTAAGTGCAACTTTAACCTAATGCAGCTAGGTCTTTAGAAAGCTAGCTGCAATCCATACAGTATACCCCTTTAATGTTGTATCATTTTGCCATAACTTAGGGTTTGCAGAATTTAATGTAAGAGGTAAAAAATGTAAAGGAAATTGGTAAGTGCCAAAGAGTAACGGAACTATCTTCAACAGATTCTGCACATAATTGACAATCTTTAGGATGAATATCTTTGGTTAATTGTTGGTTAACAAAAAAAACAAGATCAAAACATAGGAAATGCCTGAGGACTTTGTCTAGATCAGTTTGATTCATTGTTGTGTGCGTGTGAGTGCAAGTGAAAAGTCTGTATGTGTATGTAGTGTAGCACATACTGTACAGACTAATAGAAAGAGAGGGAAAGGAGAATGAGGCTTCATGTCTCCAGATGGTGAGTGCGGAGGTGGAGAAAGTGTCAGAAACAGAGGCTCAGGTGTTGACTTTGCCATAGTATACTGGAGAAGACACTTCTGTTAGGAAGAGGTGAGGGACATTGTCATTAGAAGAGGAGAAAGCACCCTTCGTTTGTGTTAAAACAAGAAGAGTATATCATCTAATGCACTCCTATAGTGAGAATCAGGTCTTGTTTCACTGCTTTCTCTCTCTTCAGATCACATAAGTATCAGTGAAGTATCATTTCTGAAGAGCTTCTATAATGACAAAATAGCACTGCCATGGTTTATTATTATACTTCAAACTACAGTATATGTGGCCGACACTCATACTGTAACTGTGGATTACTTATAAATGTCTTGCTTTCATACACACACACAATCCTGGCCAAACACATGTTCAGTTTATTACAGAGGTATGCTTGTATCACATTATATAGCTAATAAAGAATACTTTCAAAACTACTCTGCACCAGGAAGACACCTACGGACATTCTGATAAAATAATAATATACATGTCAATGGTAAATGTTGTCATAAATGTTATATGTAAAGTGCAATTATATTCCAAATGAAGTATTAAATAAATATGAAAAACAACTTTTTCACAAGGCAATCTGAGGAGCTGAGTGAAAATTGACAGCCCTCTATTGCTGAAGTGATATCCCACTTGTACGTACACGCAATACTGCTGTTGTATAGGATTTTACGTTTCACTACATTATGATTAATTTATGAAATTGCACTATTCTCATCATTCTGTCGTCAGCTGGTATGAAATGTGTCTCAGCTTTTAGCATAGTAAAATTTAAACAGCAAGTATGATAGTTTGTGTGACTGCACATTATTTGGTTGGGTTTCAGCACCAGCTTGTAGAGTGGGGAAGGTGGACAGCTCCAGAGTGTCTTCAGAACCACTAATGCTGGACAGCTCCCTCCACAGTAGAATAGCATCCAGTAGTGTTTGTGTGTGTGTGTGTGTGTGTGTGTGTGTGTGTGTGTGTGTGTGTGTGTGTGTGTGTGTGAGTGTGTGTGTGTGTGCGCGCGCGTGTGTTTGTTGAATTGTAAAAACCTTTAAACATATAATAATGATCATGACATAACTTAATCTTGTCTAAACCCAAAGTGTGTTTAGCCAACTGATGCCGATACTGTTCCTTTGTTAAAACTATAGTCACCAGGTCATTTTCACATGGTAAAGACGGTTTCACACTGCTGGAATTATAGCTTGTGTGTGTGGTTACAAATAGTTTTTTTCATCTTCTTTCACTAGTGTATATCATGTGGAGTGCAGTTTGTGTGCACATTAAGCCAGGTGTTTCCGACCCTCTGGTTGTTTAAATTGTGTAGCATTTAAAAAACAAACTATATGTTTATATATATATATATATATATATACATATATATATATAGTAAATAGTATAAATAGTTTGGGTTTTTTTTTCACTGCTTTTGTTGTTCGAAAATTGCATTCTATCACATTGTGATGTCGGTTTGAATTCAATTAATCATTCAGTCCTAATGGATGGTTCGCTTTTAAGACATCTGTATTGTCTTGTGCGTGTGTGTGTTTGTTTCTGTGTGTGTGGCCCCCGCCCTTCTTGTTTCCACCCTGCAGAAGCTGATTTGTTATTCCATTTAAATGAAGAATGGCTATTTTTGTTTTTAATCAAATGGTAACCATGAGCCAGAGGGACAGAAGCTACCGACCACAGCCAGGCTGATTTACACTCTTTCCCCCACCCCCCACCCCACAATCTTCTACTCTTTTCTTAATTCTCCTTATATTGCTCCCTCTCTTATGCTTTTGCATCCTCTGACTAATTCAGCTGCTCGCTTCTCCATCGCTGTCTTGTTGTTGTTTCATCCACAGCTCCTCTTCAACTCCACATCTTACATCCCTCCCTTCTTATAATGTTTCTCCCTCTCTCACTATTAAATCTGTTCGTTCCTCCACTTGAGCAGTAATGAGACAACAAAAGTGTCAACTCCTTTTCAGGCTCCACAATTATCCCCCCCCCCCCCGCCCTCTTTCTTTCGCTCTTCATCCAACTATCTCCATCTCCCTCTTCTGTTCATGTATTACAATTCTCACTCGATACTGAAATGGTAATGACACTCCAGGGTTTGGATTTGTCTTGTTTGAAAAATGTCATTGTAACCCCTCTGTAAGCTAAAGTACTGGGCAGTTACTAATTAAGTCTAGAGGTACTCTGAAGCAAAATGCATGATAAGATTAACAGTAATTGCAACTTTAATTAAATGCAGTAAATATTGCATTCAAATTTCAAGAAATCATTGTTATTTAAAAACTAATTTCAAGTAACTCCATGGCAATTGTTGATCAATTATGATAAAAGCTTAGTTTCACAGCATGACTTCCTGGAAATTAGGTCATCATTTTTAGAAACAGCCTTTTTTTTGCCATGGAGTGAAGGAACAGTCTTGTAAGTAGTGAATATAAGCAATCGTCGACGTAAAATTTACTTTTTCACTTACCTAAGGTGTGTTATGTATATATATCTTCTGGAAGGGGGGTTATTAGTGTAAGCTGGGCATGTGTATACACTTGAATATGAAAGTGTTTTGTGTCCCCATGATTCTCCTAAAGTTAAATGGCATATAATTGTTGACACTATGAGTGATATCAGACATTTCATTGATTTCTTAGTATGTTCCCATGATGAATCAGGACTTGGTGGTAAGGTTTATGCTGACTGTGTATACAGGAGAGGGTGTAAAGGTCATGGCTTACAGTACCCACTGATTGAATGATGTTTTTGTCACTGGATGTGTTTTTAGCTGGTGGAGCCTTTAACACCCAGCGGAACAGCACCCAACCAGGCCCAGCTTCGAATCCTGAAAGAAACAGAACTCAAAAGGGTCAAGATCCTCGGCTCTGGGGCCTTCGGGACTGTTTACAAGGTAAAACACACACAAAAAATCAAATTATAGTGACGTTTTGCATGTGTTTCAGTTAGTACTTGGCCAAATAAATTATTATATTCCTAAATTTGAGATCATGATGTGAGATCTTGCAAAAAAGAGACAAGAGAGACAGATTGCAGGATCATTAATGACAGGAAATGAAATGGAAGGCTGGAGGCGGGGGATGAAAAGAATAAGTAATAGCAGAAGCTTAGACCCCTGAGGTTACAGTGAAATAAGAGGTAGCTGAGGTCACCACCAGTGTGATGATTGGTTGGGGAGAGGTAGAGAAAGACACAGCTGGAATTAGAAAGAACAGACTTTCTCTCTATACTGAAATCATCATTTGTCATTTTGTAGATCCATTCACATTATAGCACATTTCTGGGTCAGAGGTATGGTAGCAGGAGCCCAGATGTCCTTTTTCAAAGCAACATCTTGCACATTTCCCTAGGGAATCTCCAGGAACCTCTAGGCATGTAAGAATATATAGTCCTTTTAGAGTCACATGGGTTGAGCCCTAGGACCCAGATGTTTTTCCTTGGTGGCCAAGATGACTCCTCTACTGGATCCTCTGGGGGCTCAGGAACAGTTGGTTGCTGCTGAGATCAGTCAGTCAGCAGAATAAATTCAGCAGCTGGATTGCATGATTTTATTATTTCACACAACACACAACTCAGACGTCATAGCTAATGTTGAGTGTTTTGCTTTGGGGCTTACCTCTCTTTTCACTAAAATGTATAATTATATACAAATAATATAAAATGAAATAAATGTACAATATTGCAAAACCTGAATGTGGTTGATGTGAACAAACTATTCTGCTGATTAATAACCATCTACACAAGTGCAGGTAGAATGTCTGTGTCTCAAACAGAGGCATCACATTGAAATTTCAGTAGATGCGTTGGGCTTGCTGCCATTGGCCATATGTAGTTACATGCAACACAGAACAAAGGTGGGACACATTTGGAAAAAGTTGAGAGGCACTTCATTTCCATCTTCTTTTAAATGCTTTGACCACTTTGGCAGCTGCTAAATCACTTTAATTCCACCTGAAATTAGATACTTCAAAATGATTAAATAGTTTTGCCCAAGTTTTTTTGAAGGACAAAATAACCTTTAATCAAGCATGCAGAACACTACCATACTGCCTGTGAGAATATGGAAGAGCATTATTAAGAAAGCTGACAAAGTAGAATTCAGAGTGAAATATCTTCAATTTATTAACTGAAATTCCTCCTTTTCAAATCTTTAACATATTTCTTTTATAAAAATGTTGGTGAGTGGGAGTTTTGTGACTTTCCAATCAGTATAATGACTCATCATTTGTTTGTGTGTGTGTTTCTTTTAGGGTATTTGGGTCCCAGAGGGAGAAACGGTGAAGATTCCTGTAGCCATTAAAATCCTTAATGAGGCCACGGGACCGAAGGCTAATGTGGAGTTCATGGACGTGAGTATCCTGAAAACTGGAAAAAAAGAGAAAAATGAATTCCAGTATTTAATTGTTTTTCTGTTGCTATGTTTCTATCACATGAAACCTGACAATAGTTCTACACATTTTAAACTCATCAACAACAACAAATTTGCTACTTTCTCAAAATATATTTTACTATATAGAAGTACTTCAACCTGGGTTTGGTCAGGTTAGTCCAGCATATACTGTTGCTACGGTGACACATAGGTAGGTGTAGGAATATAATTTATTATACATGTCTCGGTAATTTTTAGGACAACTACAGCTCCTTTGGTGAAATTAAGCTATTGAAAACTAACTTTAGACCCTATAGACTACAGAATAGAAACCACAAGAACCTCTAGGACCCCTACACACCCCCAGATACACACACACAATTCCACAGGCTCCCAGCACAGTGTACGAGACCCCATTTATAAAACATTCACAGTTCGGCTCATTTCAAAAGGAAAATTGAAAAAAAAAAAAAAATCTAAATTATTACCCCATGATGATGCAATGCAGATGAAATAACCCCCATCAACACACGTACACATGCAGACACAGGCACACACACGCTGAAAGTGACCCAATTGCACTCATGTTTTGCACTTAGTTTGACAGTCTAAGAGGAAGAGTTTTGGAGTGTTAGCATTTCTATTTTTACCAGGACGTCTTTGATGAATATCCTACGTGTGTTTAATTTAATACGCCATGTGCTTTGAGGGCTTGTCTGACAATCAGAGAGCCAGATATCAGCAATGAAAGGATGCCATACAGGGAGACAAAAGTTGGTGATATATATGTGTATATATATATATATATAGATAGATAGATAGATAAGAGAGAGAGAGAGAGAGAGAGAGAGAGAGAGAGAGAGAGAAGAATGTACATATCAGTGTACAGTGCATATGCATATATTAGCATACTTGCATGCAAAAAGCATGCTGTTTATCGCCTGATGTATGCATGTGTATGTACCATGACACAAAGGCAGCTTCTCACCGCCAGCCCCCCATCCACCACTCACTCAGATGGGTTGTGTGACAGACTGTGCATGCATAACTAAGCATGCTTATTTACATGGCATGCTGGTTAGTGAGGAAAATAAAAAATTATGAAATTATATGTTTTTTTTCGATTACAGAAGCAGTGATAGTGTTAACAAATCAGATTGCATTACAGTTGGACATTTCTAATATAACTGACTAGTCAACTAGTCTGAAAGGAAACAGCAGGGGAGACAGAGATTGTGATTGCAAGAAAGCAGAGAGATTAACTAAAACAAATAGAATCAGCAGAGTTATACAGAAACAGAGTACAGTACAGTATTTGCAGATGTTTGGTTTATTAATTCATTTTTTTCTCCCAGTAAAATAAATGTTCCACCTGATTTTCCAGTCAGACTTAACTTCATATTCATCCAGTTTCACAATTTTCTTTTTTGGCTGCTAAGCAGCTGGGGGCTCAGCCTCTGCTTTAGGGAACATCAGTGATAGTTACAGAAGAAAAGGGGAGTGCCATTCATTTACTTTAACCATCCATATTTTCCCAGGCAGACTGGGAATTCTGACTGGTGACCTTCTAGCTGTAGGCCACAGTCAGTTGCCACTGACTGTTTGAAGAATGTCACCAAGGATTGATTGTCCTTTAGTCTGTGCGTGTGTGTGTGTGTGTGTGTGTGTGTGTGTAGGTGTGTGTGTGTGTGTGTGTGTGTGCTTCTGTCTAGAGTTTCCCACACCTTACCTGTGGGGCACTCAGAGGAGGGAGGGTTCTGCTTTTAAACAGCAATCAAATGGGCCCCGTAACAAATGCCAATACGGCCTCCTGCTGCGAGTGCCTAACAAGAGCACAGGGTGTTAGACCGAGCAATATCATCATGCATGCATGTACATGTATGCGTGTGTAAGAGTGTGCATGTGCATGTGTGTGTGTGTGTGTAATCCTAATTGTGGCTACAGGAAGACAATGCATGCTACAGTATGTTGTTCCTTTTTGAAGCCAAACTCCTCCTTAAGGCTTGTTTTCACAGAAGCAGGATAAACCCTTGTGGCCTGTCCTTGGAAACTGTATTCAGTAATATTGTTTCCCTGTCTATGCAGAAGAATATGTTCTGTTCTTTTCATTAATGTTTTGCTCAGTAATTATTCTATATGAGAATCAAACAGACTAGAGTATTACACAAAGCACCTCTCAAAACAAAATTACACAGTGATGCGCAGAAAACAGTTACAGGACTGTCACTACAGTGTCATCAAAAAACTTTAATCTTTAAATCTTTTAAGTGTTTCAAAATAACCACAGAGAAAGTTAGTGGTATTAAATTTGTAGTGAATACAGTTGGATTTCAAGTGAACAAGGGTTTATGTTTTTCACTACAGCACTTCTCAGGTTTCTTGTTTTAAACACTTTATTTCATTTGAAATTTATGTGAAATCACTTACTAAATCCTGTTTCATTACATTTAATTTTGCTTGTAATTTTGCTCAACAGCAAAATGAGAAATTACCAGTGGGGGGTGAAATCTTTCTCAAGACACTACAAAAAAACATCACAGGAGGCTACTTATACAGTCTCGTTCGCTCTGCCTCAGAGAACATTGATACAATCATATACCCACACAGAAACAGCAGTCATACCTTCTACTTGATGAATTTATAATCTATTGTCATAATTCCATTAATCACAGAAAAAAATCCATAATTACATTTCAATTAGTATACTGACTACTATACTACAATAGTTCACTAAATAGTTTGATCCAATTTTGTCATATATGCTGTAGTATTGGTTCTTTCAGTCATGGACCTTAGCTCAGAAATTCTAAGAGTGAGAACATCTCAGAAAACCACTTCACAGTGTTAGAAGATTTACTTGAAAGGAGTCTTGTCCAAGCAGTCAACAGTAGGCAGACAGAAAGGCCCATTCTCTCAGACTTTCTGATTTACCATCACCATTACTGTACCATATGTGGTACTGGACATCTCCAGTATCTGATTATGCAAGTGATGTGATATATTGTAAATCCTAGACTGTGTTATGGTTGTATCTCTCTGTCAGTGTTCAGTGGACCTCTACACACATTGTATATCTGTCTCTCCCCAATGCACAACCACCTTCACTTATGTTGTGTATTCTTGCTGCACAGTTATCCATCTCATGATGAGTTGTCATATTAACCCATAACCCCTGCAGTCACAGTGTTTTGCGTGTGTGTGTGTGTGTGTGTGTATTCACATGTCTTGGGTAGTTGCATAGTAAAACAGAATAGATGAAGGTATATTTTTCACTTTAGATTTATTTCTGTATACTTTTTTACGTTTGTATGCCACAATCCTATGCAATATTGCAAACATATAACATCAACATTATATGATAATTATGTTATATTTGCTCTTGTTCTAAAGATCCTTCACATAATGGTGTTGACACTACAGGCTCCAAAGTTCAATTTTTATAAATAATGTACTGTAGCAGCTTCTTCATATGTACATATTTGCAGACCAAATTTAGGAAATAACACACAGAGACACGTGATATACAACAATCTCACCTTGGTGCATTTACTACATTTTTAGTCTGCTACAAAGCATGCTGACAGTCTTGGGAAGCAGTGGGTCTCTTTGATCTCAAGGTTTTGAATAAAAATCTACTGTTTCTGACTTAGTGGAACCTTGCTGCTCACTTCAAGAGAAACTTCTGCCATAAACAGAATAAGGGTTTCTACTAGATGGTCTTTGACAGTTCAGTCTATACATAACATGATGCATTGTGTGTTGAGTCTCTGAATTGCTCTGGCATTTGTCTTTTGACACTAACTGAAAGACTACCTGTTTGAGCACAGTATAACACATGAATATGGTATTATCTCCACTTGTTCTGAATATGCAAAAAGAAATACATCCTAATTAGTAACAGTAAGAAGTAAATGATGTACTGTATATACTAAAAAAAGTATGTTATTGACAAAGTCATTAAAAAAATTATAATGATAATTCAAGTGTATGTATTTAAACATTATAATTTGAATAACCAGATTGTTCTTCTGATAATGAACAACCCACTTATTTCTATGGCTTACAGTACATTATAAACATAATGTGTGGCTTGGAAGACAATTTTAGTTTCAAAAATGTACACAGAACTATCCAAGATCACAGAAATATGAAGTATTTTCTATTTGTGTTTTGCTAAAACAGTTGGGTATTGCCTGAATTGAATAACACTGTAATATCTGTTGACATACTATCTTAAATGTCATCCTCCATCCTCAGCCCTTTCCCCCACATGCCTGAGTGTAAATCTGTCTCATTCAGGAGGCCCTGATCATGGCTAGCATGGAGCACCCCCACCTGGTCCGCCTGCTGGGCGTCTGCCTGAGTCCCACTATCCAGCTGGTCACACAACTCATGCCTCACGGGTGCCTGCTCGAGTATGTCCACGAGCACAAGGACAACATCGGATCCCAACTGTTGCTCAATTGGTGTGTCCAGATCGCCAAGGTAAGGACGGAGAAGGTTGCTAGTTAGCTCTTTTACCTGCTGTATGATTGGTTGGTTTGGTGATTGACTGGTGGTTTGGTTAGGTAATTGGCCAGCTGGTGGATTGGCGATTCATTGTGATTTGTTACCATAACAGTTTGTTTACTGGTGGATGTCTTAATTGATTGCGGCTTTTTTGCTCCCTTGACTGCTGCACCAAATATCAAGATTTAAACTTTAATGAGTAATTTTTGTTCTTTTTGTATTGACTCACCTACAGTGTGTGCTATGTTCCTATAACAAATAAGTTTCTCCCATCTCCAATGTTTACGTTGTGTTGTCATAGGCTGCCATGCACTCTTACCCCTTTTGAAATCTTACTGTTTAAATTTGTGTTTGCTTTGGATTACAAAAACACACACAACTACTGAACCACCCTTATGCCCTTTTATAACATTTCTCAGCTAATAGAGGCTAAGTGAATTTCTACATTGCTTCCAGAGTGAAAAGATGTCTTTGTCCGTCTATAGAAAATGGCTACAAGCCAGAGACAAGCACTGGATATTTGGTAAAGTGTCCATGAGTGTGTGTTGGTGTGTGTGGAGGATTCAGCAGCAGAGAGCGGCGCCCCTTGCCAGCCTCTCTGGAGAACTGAAGTAAATAATGCAAAGCCTTGCTTGACTTTGGTAGGGGAAGTGTTGAGTGCAGTGAGCTCAGTGTTACAGGATCATGGATGTAGGAGTGCATTATAATTCGTCTTTTTCTAGATGTCAATATTAATAGGTGACAGTGATGATCGTTCTTTGTCTCTTTCTGTCCATCTATGTATCAGTAGGGTGTAGATAAAAAAATAACACAACATAATCACCCGAACATTATATGCTTCACAATCAAATTGTATTAATCTATTTATTCACTAGAGGTATACTTCAGTATATACCATATGGTATAATTATATCTCCAAACATGCTGCGTTTGTTAGAAGGCTGGTGAAATTTTCATACACAGAGAGCAAAGTAATTGGTTTAAAAGCAAAGAGAAGCAGAATGAAAATGACTCAGCAGTCGTTGCAGTCCCAGATTTAATATCTTAGACAAATATTTCTGTTGCCATTTTCGGCTAAATCAGAGGAAGGCAGTACTCTAGTGAGCTGCCATGGGAAAATATTAAACCATCAATTAAACGTTGGGACACGGTTAGGATCATACCACATAAAGTGCTTTTTTCATACCAAAGGCGATCAGAGCTTACATTAAGTCTTGCCACGTTGACAAACTTCCCATGCTGTGTAACACAAATATTTTCATGGTATGAAATTAATCACACAAATTGCTTTGTGGAAAAAGGATGTAGATTGGTTATATATACACGAATAAATATATGCCTGCTGTGAACAGTTGTCAACATGGAGAGATGTATAATTCATAAAGGGTAGATATGATGATGTATTATTTACCACTGCTATTGTGTGTCTCAGGTGTGTATTGTTGTAGTGTTTTCAATGATTGGCTATAGCTCCTGGGGACTCAAATAGTCATCAGAGGCCACGCTTAATACACACATGGGTCTATGCTTACACAAACATAGTGTTCTACACAATGAACTTATCTGAGTAATGCCAACAAGGATACTTGACACTGAATTTGGACAATTAGCTTTTGCCTTTAACACCGTCAACATTCCAATGTATAGTGCTCATATAACTTATCCCAGATTTGAGTCATAGAGCTTTTCTGCAGATTAATTCATTATCTTTATCATTGATATATATATATACGTCAACTTATGCAGGGTCTTACAGGCTCTCAGGGCTCTTGCAAGTGACAGGGCTTTACACTCTGAGGTAACATCCCTGTGGCCCTCCCTCTCTGTCATGGCCGCCATCACAGTCATAGATTATTAATGGAGTGATCTGCCATGAGAGTCATACTAATGAGCGGATTCATTAGCGATACTACGCATGCAAGGCTCTGATGCCACAGAATGTTTTTTTTTTCCTTAGGACTGATTTTTCTTATCCTGTTTTATCTTTCCATACTCCCCTACTATATCACTTTCTCCTCATTATGTCTGCTTGCTTTTTAAATCTTCTACTTGTCACCCACTCTTCATGTATATAAAGTATAGGGCTGCTACTCTATCAGATGTTTGATTTTCAAACCACTACAGCAATACTAAGAATTATATATTAAAATAAATCCTGCGGCGTCTTTAGATATAAACAGCTCATTCTAAGGTAACAAAGACATAATGATTCTTATTTTTAAAAGCTTATACACTTATGAAAACATAGTTCTTCTTCCAATAGAAGCTTTTTAAGGTTTAGCTATATTCAGTTCAATATTTTTTCTAAATTTCAGGATGGTTTCTTATTCGAATTTTCTACTACTGCTACTACTACTACTACTACTGCCCTTGTAAAACTTACCAAATATGTATTCTCATCCTTGACAAAGGTCAGTTTGGTCACTTGTGCAATTATTTTTTAATTGGCTTTCGATTTGGTGGACCATTACCTTTTTCTTGACAGATTTGATGCCACTGGTGTTTCCTAATAGGCCTCTTTCCAGTTCTGATACTTATCTTCATAGTTCGTTATCATTGCATTTTTTTGTTTGTTTCTTTGGTTTTCTTTCATCACAATCAATCAGATTATTTCCCTGTTCAAATATATATATATCACAAGAACGTATTTTAGGACCGTTACCTTTCTCTATTTTTCTGAATGATCTTTCTAATAATTTCTTCCAATTGTTTTGTTCAGTTATGCAGATGACATGGTTATATACACATTTGATTCCAATATACCTAAAACTCAAAGTTCTCTGCAATCAGAATTTTCTCTTTCTCTCCTATTACTGATCATACTGATATCATATACCAGAACACCTCTAAATCTTCATTATATTCACTTAGACACACTCAACATCCTTTTCATTGTGCCTAGAACTTTTTTAAAGACATTGGGAGACCTGCTTTTAAGCCATTAGACTGAAATACTTTGTTCAACTCACTCAGATCAATTTCTTCTTTTCGTGAATACATGCTTGTTCACCTTCAGTTCTTGTTTGTGCTTCATTTTTAGTACATGTATTTATTCTGATTTATTTTATTTCTATTTACTTTTGTGCAGATGATGGTGGGAGAGCCCTTATGTGCATGTTTTTGTCACTATGTTGATTGTTTTGTGTTATTGGATCATTGAATTAATATATTTTCTGTTAATTAGGTATTTATTTTTTGTTTAAGGTTCAGTGTGTAACATTTAGGAGGATGTATCAGTAGAAATGGAATATAATATTCATTAGTGTATAATTGCCTGAAAATAAGAATAGTTTTGGCTTGCATGGAGTTCACTATGGTGAACCAAACAGACAAACCAAACACTGGCTCTACATTGGGCCATTGGCATTTTTCACGGGTTTCATGGCCACTGTAGTTTGTCCTTTGTGCTTGGAAGAGGAGAGTGAAGCAAAGGAGTTGCAATCTGTGACGACACCGCTATAAGTCACTAAATCCTACCACACTGGTCCTTTAAATGTTAATTGCCATGTTTTTGTGCCTGAGGACCCCCTTGAAAATGAGATGATGCATCTCAAGGGTTTATCCTAAAATATTTTTTTTAAATTAGATTAAATTATATTATATATTTATCTATATTCAATAATTTACCTCTGACACAAATCTGTCCAGTTTTTTAGGGAAATGATATCCACTTGTAAACATGGTTGTCGGTTAAATATTTTTAGTTGTAGAGATGGCTTGATAGCCTACCTAGTTTAATTTCTGATACTAACAAAATACCACAGGCTCTGCCGATATCATTCTGATACACCAAAAGAGAGAGAAAGACAGGAGATGATATCATATACATTAATGAACCCACACTACACTGATAACAATACATATTTCCTCTTTCATATTTTAGCTGTCAACAAGCCATTCATTTGCAAATGGGATGTTACTGGCAATGTCTTGTGCTAAGCACTTAACTCTACTTTAAACTTGTAATGCATTAACATCCCCTTCATTGGATTATTTGTGAGCCATAAAAATGTTTACCCTGGGGCACAGTGTTTTGCATGCTTAAGCTTGTGCTGTCAGAGTTAGTAATGACATAGTAGACACATTGGAATTCCATACTGTATATTAGCTGTTAAAACTCACCACTTTGTTTTTTAACATGCGTTTTTAAATGAATTCATTGACTTGCTTGTACAATTGGGAAACAGCTGTTTCAGAGATGAAAGATCAAGGCTCCAGATATTTAAGCTACAAAACACCACACACTTTGCATTTTACTGCAGCTGTTCACGCTCCCACGGTACTGTAGACTGGCATGATGTTGTCACATGATGTATTGCTACTTTTCTTTATACAATAAGTGCAACTATTCCACTGTTCAGATTGCAACTTTTATTTTTTTATTGTTTTTAGCCGCACTAGCAGTGTGACTCTAGGGATGGCAATGTCAGTTAGTTTAGTCCAGGCTGACATCTCAGTAACTATTGGATGGATTGCCATGAACAGGTAAAAGTTTTGACTTATCCTGTGAAATATCTAAACGTCTACTAGATGGATTGCCAACTGACTTTGTTTATCTACTGACTTTTCCTATACTACTATTGTGTGGTTGACTTGAATTTGAGTGAAATGTCTTGACAAATATTGAGTAGATTGCCATGAAATTTGGTCCATACGTTTATATACCCTACATGGTGAATTATCCCATAAGAAAAACCTCAAGCTACACTCTCAAAACTTTCTTAAACTCTCAAAACTTTTATTGAGTTAACAATGAGTATTGTATCAGCACATCTAGTTATTTAATTCAGATTTCTGCAGACCGCTGTAAAAGACAGAGTGAGATTGTTTATTCTAATACATCCCTGGTGTATTTTGTGTATCTCTTAAATTTGTAGAGAATTTGGTAAAACTATTGCATATTTTTTAATGCAATGCTGTAATTAACCTTTCAGTGTAATCTGACACTCTACTTTTCAATCTAAACTGAAAGAAGA